GGGGATCGAACTCACGACTACCTGCTTACAAGGCAGACGCTTATGCTGCTGAGCTAAATCCCCAGCCCCCAGTGTTTAACTTCTTGAAGACTGCCAAACTGTTTCCTAAATCAGTACCAACATTTTACATATCCAACAGAGATTTTAAAAAGTTTCACTTGGTCTACATCCTCGTCAGTATCTATCTCTTTTATTACAGCTATCATAGTGGGTATAAAGTGGTACTTCATAGTTTTGATTTTCATCTCCCTGGTGCCCAGTGATGTTGAACATCTTTTCATGTGCTTATTGGCCTGGTTTATATAATTTTCTTTGAAGAAATGTCTTCAGATTCTTTGTCCATTTCTCATCGGATTGTCTTTTTATTGTTGACTTATGTGTTCTTTATTCAAACATAATTTGAAATATTTTCTCTCATTCTGTGTTGTCTTTTCATTTTCTTTTTTCTTTTGGTACGAGGGATTGAACTCATGACCTTGCATTTGTCAGGCAGGCGATTATGCCGCTGAGCTGTATCCCCAACCCCCAAAAGCTGACTGTGCTCATTTTCTTGATACAGGGCCTTTGCTGCACAAATTTATTTTAATGACTTCCAGTTTATTTTTTCTTGTGTCTGTTGGGCTTTTAGTGATGTGTCTAACAAATCAAGATCATGAAAATTTAAACCTGTCTTCTAAATATTTTATTCTTTTAGGTGTATGTCTTTGATCCATTTATAGGTGGTGTACAGTTGGTGTCCAACTTCATTCTTTTGCATGTAAACATTCAGTTGTCCCAGCATCATTTGTTGAAAAGACTATTCTTTCCCCATTGAGTTGCCCTGGCACTCTATAGAAATCAACTCTAAATGTATAGATTTATTTATGAACTCTGTTCCATTGATCCAAATGTCTTGTGCCAGTACCACTTTGTAACAAGTTACGAAATTGGGAAGTGTGAGTCTTTCAACTTTGTTCTTTTTTTAAGATTGTTTTGGCTATTCCAGGCCCTTTGCATTGCCATATTGATTTTCAAATCTACTGCCACCTGTTTTTATAAATAAAGTTTTATTGGAACACAGCCACACTCATTCATTTATGTATTGTCTGTCTGCTTTAGTGATTCAAGAACAAAATTGAGTGATTCAGACAGAGACCATATGGCATGCAAAGCCTAAAATATCTCCTATCTGGTCCTTTACAGAAAAAAGTTGTCAACTTTAGATGGAGCAAACTCATGCTTTGAAGCACCAGGAGACAAAGTAGGAGCAGTCATTAATTTACTTAAAATTTTAAGTAAATAGTGAGTACCTGCTATATGCCAGGAGTGTTCTAGACACTGAGAGAGGAACATAGGAACACATAAGTCCAACACAGTTCTGGTCTCTTGAAGTTTCTTGCCACAGCCTATAAAATTCCTTAGGTTGTGGCTCTGTTCACATTTGAGCCTATCTTGTTCATCTCTTTTCTCTTCATCATTTGCTGTGGCCACATTGCCTTCATTCTATTTCTATAGCATACCCTGCCTATGCTTTTGCATCTTTGTGCTTGTTCTTCCCTCCCTCTGGAATGTTTTTCCTTCAGATCTCTGTGTAACTTACTGCTTCTCAGCATTCAGATTTCTCCTCAAATATCACTCCCTCAAAGAGACTTTCTCTGACCACTGGAATACATCCAAAGTATGTCCTACACCATATTATATTTTGGTTTAGACTTTGTTTTTTATGGCACTGGGGATCAAATGCAAAGGTACTCTACCCCTGAGCCATATCTCCAGCCCTTTTATTTTTTATTTTGAGACAGGTCCTGATAAGTTACCCAGAACTTATGGTCCTTCTGCCTTAGCTTCTCAAAGTGCTGGGGTTATAGTCACAGTCTGAACTCATGTAGTTGATTTGTCTTTTTTTCTCCCTTTTCCATGAAAGTTCTCTTTCTTACCACAGTTTTGCATGTATAAGATTGCATGTATAAGATTATCTAGTATCAGGCTGGAAGCTAGCACAGCTTTTGCAGGGATAGGCTGCAGTTGTATAATCTTAGTAAGGAAAAACTTTCTAGTGTGAGTTATGGTTGTTGCCTTGCCTCACTATCATATAAATATTTAGAATTTTAGCTAAAACATACAGAAGTTTAGATCTGAGAACAAATATAATCATTCTGGAAGCATTAATGCATTTCTCAGATTATATTTGAGAGCCTGAGCTCTTGAGTTACAATCCTGCATCCTGTCTGTTAGCTGTGCCATGTTAAGCAGGCTGCCTAACCTCTCTTAACATCTTTTTGCGCAACGGGGTGAGGGGTAATACTCAGAATTGCGCTCAGAATGTCATGCTTGCAAGGTAGGTGCTGCGCCACTGAGGTAAATCCCTGACCCCAACAATGTTCTTTTGTTGTTGTTTTCCCTGAGGTAAGGTATTTATTGTAGAGTAGTGTATTCATTTCTTATTGCTACCATCACAAATTACCACAAACGTAGTGGTGCTCAAAACAATGTAAATTACTGTCCTGTAGTTCTATAGATGAGAAGTTTGACACAGGTCTTACTGTCTAAAGTCAAGGTATTGACAGTCATAGCTGGAGAATGCAATCCATCTTCTTGCTATTGCCACCTTCTAGAGGTTACCCCATCTCTTGGCTCCAAACCTCTTCTTCCTCTGTCTTCAAAGACAACAGTAGTGGCCCAGTCCCCTATATACCGGACCATCTCCTAGTCTGCAGCCAACAGAGATTTATTCAGTTGATTAAATTGGGCCCACCTAGATAATCCAGGATAATTTCTCCATCTCAGGGTCCTTAACCTTAATCACGTCAGCAGAGCCCTTTTGCCACCTAAAATAATTTATTCACAAGTTTCAGAGAATTAGGACATGGACATCTATAGAGGGCCATTATTTTGCCTACCACATGTGCTCAGCACTTTATAAGCCCTCACTAACTGGCAGTCATTTAAGGCTTTTGATTCTCTGGGAGATTCCAGGCTAAAGCTGTGACACCTGGGCACAATTAATTTACAGCCTGGTGGGAAAATGAGAGGACTAGGGACAGAAGTGATCCTGACCCAGAAAGAACTGTGGGGTTTCATTTGAGTGCTAGGGGAAGGCAAGAAGCCTCAAGTCAGCAAGTAGTTTGCCAGATTTGAGCAAAGCATGTGTCAGTCATGTATACAAGTAGAGAACTGGGAAGAAATGACTTTCCACCTACATGAGAATCCTTACAAGGAGTAAGAGGGAAAGAGAAAGCAGAGGAACCATCTTTCCAACTAGCTATCGAAGATCAACCTTATTCATATCTTTTAAATTCTTCCCACTCATCCCACTGGACTCATTTGCTCATTTAGGCAGTAGATACCTGCCAAGCACCGTGCCTGGCTTTGGGAATGTGGTAAACATAATCCACAAAGTCCAGTCTCAGGATTCAGTCTAGGGAAAGAAAACAAGCACATTAACACAGAGCTATACTGTGGTGTGACAGTAGGATCCCACAGGAAGGGCTCCTTCCTGCTCCTGCTCAAATTCACCAGAAGGAAGGCATCTTGAAGGAAGTACCTACAAACTGAGACCTGGAGAATAGATTGGAATTATTGTTTAGGATACTTTGTGCTACAAGTGAACATTCTAATTCACATTGCCTTAAACAATAATGAGCTGATTGGTCACCCAACTGGAAGCAGAGGAGTAGATAAATGTCAAGGTTGGTTAGTCTGATCATTCTGACTCCATTTTTCTTTGATTTCCTTGCTTAAGTTCTCTGTTTTACCTCCTTCATGATGGTAAAATGTGTGCAGCAATTTCAAGTGTCAATCAGTATCCTCAGCACTCAGAGAAAGAAAGGCATTTCTCCCATAGGGTCTTCTAAGAATGAGAAAGATTTCCCAGAAGCTCATTGCACTTGTTCCTACTTACATCTGATTGTGGTCATAGATGCACTTTAGAGTCCATTCTTGTAACAAGGTGAATGCCATATTTGGATTAAACTTAAGTTCCTAAACTCATCACAGCAAGGACAGTGGATCTGCATTTCCTGAAACACATGGTTTGATTTGGGGAAAGAAAATAATACTTCAGTGTATATCACAGTGCATCAGGGCTTGGTGTCATATACCTGTCATCTCGGCATTTGGAAGACTGAGGCAGGAGGATTGCCACAAGTTTTGAGGCCAACCTGGGCTATGTAATGAGTTAAAGTCCAGCCAGAACTACACAACAAATCCCTGTATCAAGAAAATTTTTTTTAAAAATAGTGCTGTTTGAATAAAAGAAAGTAAAGAGCAGAAAGAAGAGTATGTTGCAATGGTCAGAGATTTACTCTCCTACCGTGGAAGACACATGTCTGCTCCTTTATGCCTCCTGTTCATGAATTGTGTGTCCTCAGAACTATAGTCTTGCTGTGATTTCTGTGCGTGCTTTCAGCTTCATTGTCTGCTATTAAATAGTTCAGTCTCTCCATGTTTCTCAGTTCACATCTCCAAAATCAAGACCATAGCCCATTCTCCTTGCATGAAGTAATCTTCCATAGACCAGGGACATTACTTTGTACACTGGCATACCCTAGCATCTGAACAGTACTTGCCATGTGCCATGTTATAAGTGCTTGATAAATATGTTCTAAATTAATGCAAGATTATCCTTTTGATAGACCAGATGATCCTCTCAGCAAATTTTCTATAGCAAGGGCTGTCCCTTGAAGGGACTGTTGACATATCGCTTTTAATAGTAAAAGATCTTTTGGACCTCATTCTACTACTTAACTACTATCTGAATTTTAGTTAACTTTTCTGCAAAATGGGATTGATGAAATGTGTCCTTTAAATCTCCAAGTGTCAAATGGAATTGTGAGCATGAAAGTACTTTATATATTGTAAGATGGCAAGCAATTTAGTCAGTTCTGGCTATCAACATGTCTCTAGAAAACACTGAAGATAAAAAGGCCAGTTCATGTGCTCAGTTCTACTTCTCAATATTGACTTCCCTAGGAGAACCTCTAACTAGCTGTCTTCTTGTTCCTTTCCATTTGTTTCCCCAGGGTCACTCAGGATGTGTCAATTGTCTGGAGTGGAATGAAAAAGGAGAGTAAGTATGATCTAGCGGGTGGTGGAGAAGAGGGTAAGGGGCCATGGAGAAGAGGATTCCTTCCTCTAAGGTGATCTAAGGAACAGAGCAAATCAAAGTAAAGAGACACCATTGCCCTTCTTAAGCGTGCCCCGTAATTACCAACACCCAGTTAAACCGTGATGCAAAGATGGATGACCATCCAAGCTCTGTTTTTTTAAAATAAGTCAATATATTAGGCATACTGAGAAATTCTTAGGACAAAATAGAAGAAAAACTACTAATGTTTATAAAATAACCTTAAATTCTGTCACGTTTACTGTTCTTTGAGTTCTGTGTGGCCCGACTCCTCAGCAATGTGAAAGTGGGAAAGGGACTGGGGAACTTGAGAAGAGGTCAGAGCCTCTCACTCTGCTTGTAGTTTGCTGGCCTCTGGTTCCGATGACCAGCACACAATTGTGTGGGACCCACTGCACCACAAGAAGCTGCTCTCCATGCACACAGGACACACTGCAAATATCTTCTCTGTCAAGGTGAGTGTGAAAGCCATAGCAAGTAAAAAGAATGTTGGGCTGTGGGCATTGTCCTGTTGCCATATGTGTGTCCCATGTACCCCATGGGGTCACAGATACCCTGTGGTCTGAAGTGTCTCATGTAGATTCTTGAAACCATCTCTTTTTCCATGCTTTTCTTCGTATTTTAGAGCCAAGAAGTCACCTCAGGATAGATTTATATTTATGTGAATAGTGATGATAGGGGAGTGGTTCTGAATGCGAATTTAGGAATTAGAGATCTAGGGTTGACTCCCTTGTCTGCTTCATGGAAATTGTATGAAGTAAACAAACCATCTGACCTCTCTGAATCTTATTTTCTCCTCCGTCTTTTATTTTCCCCCTCCTTTTTTATGGCACTGGTGATTGAACTCGGGGCCTTCTCACTAAAGTACATCTCCGGCTCCTTTTAATTTTTTTTCCCAGCGTCTTTTAATTTTGACAATCTTACTAAGTTGCTAAATGGCCCAGGCTTGGCTCAAACTTGTGATGCCTCTGCCTCCACCTTCCAGAGTGCTTAGATTACAGGCATGTACCACTAGACCCAACCTAAAAGGTTTTTTCCAATTTTTTTATTAGTACATGCTTATAGTACATAATGGCTATGTTCTTCATGGGGTGTTAGTATATGTACATAACACATACTCTTTTTTTCATTGCCCCCTTTCCTTCTTCCCTCTCTCCATCTTTTGCTCCCCTTCTCTTTTGCAAAAGATCTACCTAGCTTTTTCCTATTATCTTATATTTTGCTCTTTATATGTTAGATTTCTCATATAAAAGAATGCATGCAGTATTTAAACTGGTTTTTTAAAGCATCTGACACAGAGCTGGGTGTGGTGGTACACTCCTATAATACCAGCACTTGAGAGGCAGAGGCAGGAGGATCATTGCAAGTTCGAGACCAGCCTAGGCTATAAAAACTCAAGGCCAGCCTGAACTGCATAGCAAGACCCTGTCTCAAAAAGACAAAAAATAAAAATTTTTTTAAAAAAGCACAGGTTCTTTTAGTTATTCTTTCTATAAGAAATAAATCTTTCAACTTAATGGTAGAGGGGAACCAAACTAAGACGAGATTGGAAAGGCCCTTGTAGACCATTGAAGACCTGTTATGTGAACGTGACATGAGACTTACCTTTTTTGATTACAGGGAACACACTTAGGACAAATGACTAGGAGCCCACAGAAGCACATGTGGCTCTGAGGAAGGGAAGAATTGTCTGACACATAGGGCTAATTGAAAAAGGTAGAATAGCTTTCTGTGGATATGTAAATATCATAGCTTTGAGATTGTCCATTCATTGGGTACTTTGTCTGCTAAGTTTAGGGTCAGAGGAAGTAACCTGTAAGGAATGGCCTTTCCAACTCTGAAAGTCTGTAATGGAGGTATGTGACAGTAAGGCTGGCCACAGAAAACCTCGCTAATCTAAGAAATATTTTCCTCATTAATGTTAAGGGAAATGACAAAGTACCTGAACCATCAATTAGAGTAGAACTAAAAACCTACTTCTTTCCCTGAACCCTGCCTCTTTTCCAAGTTCTGATTCTCACCGGTTCCAAAGGCCCGTTCTATGCGAATTTCTCTGATATTTAAGATGAAACAGTGACATTTCATCTCTTACCTGACCAGTAGAGACCACTGCCCTTGAAAAGTGTTAGGTTCAGTATTGATCTGTGCAATCAGACTTAGGAAAGGGAACCTGAGCCATCTATTTGGCATCCTAGAACACAAAACATTAAATTCAGAGGCCAGAATTTGACACCTAATTGTAAGATTTTGAGTAAAGTGCTTATGCCCAGGTAGTCAGCCTTCTTTGTTTAAAAAAAAAAAGAAAGAAAGAAAGAAAAAGAAAAAGTAGAAAAAGATTCTGCTCTGGTTAAGTAGTCAAAACACTAGATACAGTTACACTACTTCACCCATGCACTCCCCCTGGTGGCAGCTACAGTATGTGACAGAACTGGTAGCAGCCACAGGTGATTATTTCTATCATTAGGGGAGCTAAATGCTGTCTCCAGACAGTATGAAAGACTACTGATTACCCCTAAACATAATGGAATTGTATTCCATCCATCCTTTTTCCTACTGAGCAATGAAGAAGCATATACGGAAAAAGAAAATTATTCTGCAAACATTTGAAATCAAGTGGGTCTCATCTGTTTAAATGTAGAGTGAAGCCCCACTTGGCAACACCCCTACTTAGCCTTGGTGTGATTTAAGAGGCACTTTTCAGTTAAAAAGAGAAACGACATTTTAATCTTTCGAACTCAGGGTAAGAGAAAAACCCAACTAACAGCACCTCCAAATACTTTCTTCTCAAAATTAGGTAATAGAAGCCAGGCGTGGTGGTACATGTCTGTAATCTCAGCACTCGGGAGGCTAAGGCAGGAGGATCATGAGTTCGAGGCCAGCCTGGACTACATAGCCCAAACCTGTCTCAAAGAAAAACAAAAGTTAGGTGATAGAATTAATACTTTCTAAAAAATTATTCAAAGTAGTATGACTATTTTGTTTATATTGGATATTTTCTGGAGTACTAACTTCTGGACTTCATTAGGGTGGTGGGGCTCCCTTCTTTATAATACCTGCAGAGAGGTGGATCTCTTGATGGCAGCTCTTCCCCAAGTCTAACATTTGAGTTGTGTCAACTCTGCTAGTGTAAGGAGTACTGCTAGTATTTCTGCTTGGATCTCTTTTTCTTTTTGGATTATTTCTCAGAAGTGAAACTTTTGGGTCAGAAGGTAGAAATAGTTTCTTTTATTTTTGTTACCTATTGCCAGATTGTTCTCCAGAAACAATTGAAGCAATTTGAAACACCTACTCTTTTATAACTCTGTTTTCATTGTAGAGTTTATTACTTAATTTCTAAATTGTTAAATAGCTGTCATGAGGTAGGGGATGTAGTTCAGTGGTAGAGCACATGGTTAGTATGCATGAGGCCCTGGGTTCAGTCCCTGAACCAAAAGTAAATACATAATCATCATGAGGTATTTTGGCTGTGAGAGTCAGAAATAGGTTTATTTTTTATTTTTACTTTTTTTTTTTTTTTTTTTTTGTCTTTTTTGTTTCTTCGGTACCAGGGATTGAACTCATGACTGCCTGCTTGCAAGGCAGGCGCTTATGCCGCTGAGCTAAATCCCCAGCCCCTACATTTACTTTTTTGGAGGTACTGGGAATTGAACTCACACTTGTGTTTACCAGGCAGGAACTTATACTGCGGAGCTATATCCCCAGCCCCCAGAATTAGATCTAATGTAGTCCTGTTTCATGTTAGTGTAGAACCTTAATTTTTTATTTCAATTTTTTGGGCAGGCCCAGGAATGGAATCCAGAACCCTCATGAATGCTAAGCACATGTCTTACCATTGAGCCACATTTCCAGCATCCAGATCTTTACCTTTAATGAGATTGTTTTAAGTTTCAGTAAGATAATGTAGTTTTCTTGTGTTTACTACGTGATATATTTTTAGTAAATGATAACAGCTATGATTACCATTTACTCAGCTTTTTCTTGGGGGAAGAATCAAAAGAAAAGATAGTCCAATTTGGGATAGGTCATGACCACTCTGGAAATGTAAAGGTATGTATCTTGATTTTTGACCTTTAGACTTACAGGCAACTACTCATCCAAAGTTTTTTAGGAGAATTGTCTTGATGGGCTCATTTTCTTATCTTTTTTTCTGATGTGGAGAGGGAAACGGGGTGCTGACATTCAAGCTCATCTCTTTCATTGATCATTTCTACCCCCATCACCTGCCAATGCCTTCTTCAATCTGTCCTGAGCAGTTCCTGCCTCACGCTGGAGACCGCATCTTGATCACGGGGGCAGCTGACTCCAAGGTGCATGTTCATGACCTAACAGTAAAAGAGACTATCCACATGTTTGGAGACCACACAAACCGGGTGAAGCGCATTGCCACGGCGCCAATGTGGCCCAACACATTCTGGAGCGCTGCTGAGGATGGTCTTATCCGGTAAGGTTCTGGGCATGAATTGACCTTTGCTTCCCTTACTTCTAATACAGGGTAACTCTCCATCTCATTGTGCTTCCTTTCATGAGCCTGGCCCCTTCTGCCAGCAGATTTCCAGCTTCATTTGTCTGCCTAGGGCAGATAAATGTACAAACCCTGGGAATATTTGCATACCCTACCCTCACCCTCCTCTCTCTTTACCCTGCCCTCACCTCCAGGCCCATGGGCTTTCTCTTATCACCTTCCATGCTCAGGTATCTATTGTTGCTTGGGTGTTCACACTTGCTATTTCTTTTACCTGAGATTCTGTGTCCCCAGCTCTTTCCATATCTGACTCTTTATCATCAAAAGGATCAGCTTGAGTTACCTTTTTAGAAGCACCTTGTCTGTCAACCTGTTTAAAGTAGATAGAGCCTGCCTGGCAAGTACAACGTCGTGAGTTTGAACCCCAATACCAAAAAAAAAAAAAAAAAAAAAAAAAAAAGGTAGATATCAGTAAGACCTTGTTTTAAAAAAGAAGATGGAGTGGTGGCATTTCTATAATCCCAGCACTTAGGAGGTCAAGGTAGTATGGCTGTGAGTTCAAAACCAGCCTAGACTACACACAGTGAGACCCTGTCTCAGGGAAAAAAAAAAAAAGACACTTTTCTGATTCACCAACTTAATTATATCCTCTATAACTATAATCACTACCTGCGTTATTTTATTTTTACTTGTGGGTTTACTTTTGTGTGTATGTGCACTGAGTAATAAAGTCTCCTAGAGTAACTCCAAGTCTCTGTTCTTAGTTGTGTCCCTAGGACAGTGGCTGGCACATAGAGGCATTTGACACATTTCTCTTGAACAGGTAGATGATCAGTGAGCAGATGCCTGGCGTAGGAAGAGCCAGCCAGAAATTGGAAAGTAGACTGTTTCCACTTCCAGTGCCCCATATTGTTACATTTGCTTCTGCTTCCCTGCATCCTAAAATTTTAGGTGTTGTTGCCCTTCTCTTTTTTTCCCCTCAATACTGCTACTCTAACTTAGATGCTCAAGCATGTTAACTAAGCATTTTACCAGAGAGCCATACCATGAGTGGTGTCCTACACAGTTTGTTTTTGTTTTTTGTTTTGTTTTGTGGGGTTTTGTGGGGGACACAGGATTTTATTATGTCAGCAAGGCTCAAGCAATCTTCCCATCCCAGCCTTCGCCACCTGAGCAACTGGGACTATAGGCAACTGGCTATCACTGCTCTTCTTTAAGTTGTTTCTTCAGATGTGACCTTAGAACTTTTTCCTCATTTCTTCAACCTGCTTTAATCTGCCTTCCTGAAGTAGGCCTTTGTGCTGTCTTCCTGTTATGGAGAAGTATCTAAGTCATATGAACTATAAAATAGTAATTATAAGCATGCCACTGAAGTCAGACAGAATTGGAATCCAATCCTAGGCCTTTCACTTAGTGTATGTCTGGTTAAAGTCACTTGACCCCTAAACCTTTGTTTCCTCACCTATAGAGTAGAATAATTAATCATAGTATCTCCTTTGTCAATCTGAGCATTAGAGCATTGAAATAGAGAGTATAAAACCTTAATATGATCTATAGGAGACAAAACACTTGATGGTCAGTGGAGTGACCAACTCTATGATGTACTTGTTGACCTTGACTGACTAGGCTGTGGTAGGGCCAGAAGTAGAAACTGAATGTTTAGGAATTTGGTAGGATTCTAAAGACTTAGGCATAAGCCGGGCGTGGTGGCTCACGCCTGTAATCCCAGCACTCGGGAGGCTGAGGCAGGAGGATCGTTGTGAGTCGAGACCAGCCTGGGCTACAAAGTGAGCTCAAGGCCAGCCTAAACTGCATAGTGCGACCCTGTCTCAAAGAGACAAAACAAAACAAAACAAAAAAAGACTTAGGCATAGCCCCAGTCAGGAAAGATGTCCTCAAAGCAGATGAACATAAGCTGGGTGAGAACAGATGGGATTCATATGGGCAAGGAAAAACAGAGTGGATTCCCCAGCATGAGTAAAGTTTGGGAAGGCAAGGATAAAAGTGACACAGGATTAAAGGATTCCGGTGAAACAGGTTTAAAAACCAGACTGTAGAGATTGGTAAAAGTAAACTCAAAATAAACTCATACTAAAAGTGTTCAAGAATTTGTAATTTTGGGGGCAGAAGAATGATGTAAAACTATTTTAGGATGAGCATCTGGTGAAGATGACTTGGAAAGACAAGGCGAACAGTGAAGAGATTGTTACAGATGTCTAGGCAAAAAGTGAGTGAGTGTGTGGGCACTGTCCCTCCCACTCTCCTGTGTACCTGTGTGTTGGCAGCAGGAAAGTTCCTCTGGGTGGAGCAGTGAGAGTTTGCTGCTGCTATTGGGAGTCTTGGCATTACTTTTACTGTGAGACTGACCTTGGCACTTGGTATTTCTAGGTAACTCTTAGATATTCTTCAGATTCTCTTTTCTATCACCTCCATCCTTCTTTTGTCTCATAAAAGTAATTAGTTCAGAAAGGAATGCAGCAAAGTAGTTTAACTGCAGTTTTAGTGACTTATCTGCTGTGCTAGCTGTGTCATCCAGATATCCTAGTGGTAGGATTTAATTCAATATGCATGTAAAAACACTTAGAGACAGTCCTGGGCTTTAAGCACATTTTCATGAAGAGTTTGCATTAGTGGTAGTATAATAATAGCAATAATATCCACACCTGTAAAATAAGTACAATATATATCCTAAGTAATAAAACTGTGAGAAGCCTGCTATAGGCACCTGGCACACAATGGACACTAAAAAAGGAGTGATTTTTAATTATTTACAAAGGCATCCAGTCCTCCTCCCGATCTCCTTGCCTAAGGAGTATTTGGCTCTTTCCCTTCCTTCCACACAAGGACCAGGACCATTCTCTTTTCTCTCGCAGCCAGTATGACCTCCGGGAGAACAGCAAACACTCAGAGGTGCTGATTGATTTGACAGAGTACTGCGGCCAGCTGGTGGAAGCCAAGTGCCTCACAGTCAATCCCCAGGACAACAACTGCCTGGCAGTAGGGGCCAGTGGGCCCTTCGTGAGGCTCTACGACATTCGCATGATCCATAACCACAGGTATGACCAACTTAGTCTCCCATGGACAAGTCCCTTGGCATCTGCTGCCACTTTCCCTTGTTGCCATCTCTGCTTTTTTTTATAGTATGTTTCTGTCTATGTGTATATGCCTATGAACTTTAAAAAGATTGTAGGGGCTGGGGATTTAGCTCAGTGGCATAAGCACCTGCCTTGCAAGCAGGTGGTCATGAGTTCAATCCCCGGTACCGGAAAAAAGAAAAAAAAAAGTGTAAATAAATAAATAATTGATTGTATACAGAGTTATAGTCTTATACATGAAATTTTATTTTAATCTTTTTTTAAAAAAAAAGAAAAAGTAAAATATACACAGCAGTCCCCCAGTTCCCCAATAAGTCCCAGACCTGAGAAGCTCATGAAGTCTGGGCTTTCTGTGATTCTTGGGAGAGGTGCAGCTGTGTGTGGTCTGCTTTACTTTCATTCACAGATTTGAGAGACCACCATTGCCCTTCCCACACTGTGTGTCTTGAAGTGGACCCTCATCCTTAGCTTCCTTATGAGTTAGAATAACAAGGTAGTCCTGAGGATCCAGACAGTTTACAGGACGTCCCTGGTAAAACACTAAGATGTTTATCCATAGCTGTCTAGTGGGTAGACCTGGGAGTCATTTAAATAAGGAAGAAGGTATCTTCTGTGTCTCTCAGGGACACAGATTTAGGCTCCCTCTAGGGAAGCCTCTGGTTTTGTAGGCAGGGTTAGTGCTAGGATTCTAACCTGTGTGATCTTCCTTCCCACCAGAAAAAGCATGAAGCAGAGCCCTTCAGCAGGTGTGCACACCTTCTGTGACAGGCAGAAACCCCTTCCAGATGGTGCAGCCCAGTATTATGTAGCAGGTAGGCCTCAGCCTGGCTCTGGCCTCATACTTTTGGCTGGATACTCACTCTTTCTGAGGTAGTCCTGGGGCACAGTGTGGCACAAGTGAGGGTTTTTAATTAAATATTATTTTAATGTTTATTAGTACATGTTTGTAGTTCATAATGATTACATTCATTGCAGAGAGTTGCTACATGTACGTAATTTAACTTTTTTTTCTTTTTTTTTTTTTTTGGTACCGAGGTTCATACTCCTGATGATCTCGTGCTTGCCAGGCAGCACTTATGCTGCTGAGTTAAATCCCAGGTTCAAGCAAGGGTTTTAGAGTCAGACAGATTTGGTCTTTTTCTTTTTTCTTGTTTTTTTGTTTGTTTTTGAGACAGGGTTTTGCTATGCAGTTCTGGATGACCTTGAACTAACTCTAGCCCAGGCTGGCCTGGAACTCACAATGATCTCCTTCCTCAGCCTCCCATGTGCTCTGATTACAGACATGCTGGGATTACAGGTGTGTGCCACACACCTAGTTAATTTGGATTTTAATCCTGATCCTGCCATTGATCAGCTAGGCAATCTTTAGCAAATTACTTAATCTTGATGAGTTTCTTTACTATAAAATGGGGTAGGGAGTTATTTTGATTTTTTGTTTGTTTTTTGGGGATCAGACTCATGACCTCACACTTGCCAGGCAGGTGCTTATACCTGAGCTAAATCCCTGGCCCCTAAAATGGGTTTTTTTTTAAATGACTGAGATAAAGCATATAAAACAACTGACCCAGTGCTGATAGTGAAGGGTTAATACCTGTATCTCCTATGATGTTGACTGCAAACGTTTTCAGTAGGGCTATCTTCACATAATCCCCAGCCCCTTTGAGGAAGACTAGGAGCAGCACTCCAGACTGACTGGTCTGTTCTCTACAGGGCATCTGCCAGTGAAGCTGCCTGACTATAACAACCGTCTGAGAGTGCTGGTTGCAACCTATGTGACCTTCAGCCCTAACGGCACGGAGCTGCTAGTCAACATGGGAGGGGAGCAGGTAAGTTCAGCTGCCTAAAGTGGCTGTGCCCCACCACTGTCTCATGCCCAGCCATCAGGGCTACATACTTTTTGTCACTTCCCAGAGATAGACAAAAGTCACAGCCTCATTGTAAATGATATGGCAAAATACAGAAGTGACATAAAGATTCCTGGAGAGGTATGCTAACCTGATCTCTTTTTTCCCCTTTCATGTCTTATAATTTGGTTAAGAACATAGACTTGGATTGAGGATTTAGCTCAGTGGCACAGCACCCGTCTGGCAGGCACAAGATCATGATTTCGATCCCTGGAACCAAAAAAGAAAGAAAGAAAGAAAACATAGACTTTGAAATTGACAGACCTATTTTCAAACATTTGTCTTCTGTTTAATAGCTATTTACTGTGACTTTGAGCACTTCTCTTCATTTTTCTGAGCCTCAGTTTCCCTATCTTCTGTTTTCCTACAAGGAAATCAGTGGGACTCAGAGAATGTAACCAGGCTGTGGTTTAGAGCCAACTTGCAGAAATGTTCTTTGATAATGGCAGGTTGCTAAACCTTTTGTGTGTTTTCAGAGTATTTCATAATCCTTGTATAGATTGATTCATTCTCAAAAACTAGCCACTCACTGTGACTAGCATTATTGTAAACAGAGGGGACCAATGCAAATATGTCCTTCCCCAGGCTGATAGGAGACATGTCAGGTGAAATGGTGATGACTTTATAATGTGTGATATATACAAAAGCAAAGGGCTGGAAGCTGCATGTGGTAATAAATGCCTGTAATCCCAGCATGCTGGGTGACTGACTCAGGAGGACTGCAAGTTTTAGCCTAGGTTGGGCAACTTCACAAGGCCCTGTCTAAAAATTTTTAAAAAGGACTGGGGATGTAGCTCATTGTGAAGACCTTGAGTTTGATTCTCAGTAATGAAAAGAAAAAAAATGTTTAGTAATAGATAATATTTTCTTACTGAGAGAAGTTGTGTTACTTTAATTTTTTAAAACTTTTTTGGGGGGGTGGGTACTGGGGATTAAACTCACGACCGCGTGCTTGCAAGGCAGGCACTCATACTGCTGAGCTAAATCTTCAGCTTCACCCCCTTTTTGAGACAGGGTCTCACTATGTAGTTTAGGCTGGCCTTGAACTCACTGTGTACCCCAGGTTGGTCTCAAACTCACAACAATTCTCCTGCCTCAGCCTCCTGAGTTCTGGGATTACAGGCATCATGCCCAACTCATTTGTGTTACTTGAAGCAAATTGCCTCTTCTCTGAGTTGTTGGTTTTCTCATCCATAAAATGAGACATTTAGTTTTGGGATCTTTGAAGACCTTTCCAATTTAAACTTACGATTCTAGTTAATGACAGTAATTCAGCAGGGCTTTGGGTAAATCAAACAGCCCACCCCAAGGACCAGAAGCTAGAAATAGTTTCCTCCCTGAAGTTCACTTCTAGGAAATACCTCCTAAACTAGCTCATCTGCTTCATAATCAGTGCTTACTGCATGCAAGACCCTAGTTCTTGAGAACCATCATGACCTTGCTAGTGGTTCAGCCACATCCTTGCCTCACATCCTCCATTTCTCTTCTTGGCTTCTCAACTCTAGGTCTATTTGTTTGACCTGACCTACAAGCAAAGGCCATACACCTTCCTCTTGCCTAGAAAATGCCATTCCTCCGGGGGTAAGTTCTCTCTTACTGTGTCTGCTGAGGTGGGTTGGGGAACTTCAGCACCTTCTACCTCTGCTGAGAAGTCTGCCCTTTACTCTGGACTCTGGGTGCAATGCTCCAAAAGGAGGAGATCTCTTAAATGACCCTATTACTACAGTAACAAGACAATCGTAGGTCAACGATATATGCCCCATTTTCTGCTTCCTCTAAAAAGGTGTGTTCTTTCCATGTCCTGGTTACTGAGGACCTTAGGTAGTTGCCCTTCCTCTGTTCAACCTTGTTTATTGACTTCTTCCTGATGCATATAGTTGATGCAGGCGCATCATCAACCCTCATCCCCATCCTGTATTCAAGCTAAGGGAAAAATTAAACTAAAACTGTGTCCTCAGTCAGCCAGCAGAGGGCGCGCAGGCTTTTCTTTATGCTGTTGCCCATTGATCTGTTGGTCTCAGGCACTGGGTGTTACCATGGGAGAATAGTGCAACCATCAGACCCTGTGATGGAAGCCAAAAGCCAAAAGAAATGAGGAACTCCTCCTGAGTTGTTTTTGTTACTTTCTCTCCATCCCTTCCAGAAGTCCAGAATGGCAAAATGTCCACCAACGGTGTGTCCAATGGTGTGTCTAATGGCCTCCATCTTCACAGCAATGGCTTCCGGCTGCCAGAGAATACAGGACATGTCAGGTGAGGCCAGACTTGTCTAGTCTTCCATCCTTACTGACCTGTATGGGCTGGAGAAAAGAACATGTCCTATTAACCTTCCTTCTAATTTGCAACCAGGCCAGAGGGTAGAGACTAGCTCAGACAAACATAAGAGGGTGGCTAGTGGTCCCAGAGGATACCAATCATGCTGAGACTGAAGCTCTAGTGCCTTGGTAGCTGGAGTAAGACCCAGGGGCTAGCTTTGTTTTAACACTAAGCACTCCAAAAAGAGATCACACATGAGTGGACCTCCCCCTATTACATTATTCTCTATTCAGTCGATAATTCTGTCCTCCCCTAGGCACTGTGCTGGACTTTGTGTATATATAGGTGCTCAAATTTTTTATCCCTTGAGAGAAACAAAATTCTCCATAAAGAGACCCATAGGAGAGACAGGGTGGTGGTAAAGTTCAGATCAGCATGGAGGCAGGTGGTATCAGTTACTATCATGCCCAAGTGTTTGATTATTTCTGCCTCTCATATTTTTCACCAGCTCAGAGTGTTTGGAACTGTGCTGATTCCCTCTCACAGTAATGGTCCCCTCTTCTAGATGACACTGCAGATTCTAGGGGCTAAGAAAGCCAGTATGGGCTTTAGGGTAGAATTCAAAACTTCCTGAAGGCTGTTCTGCTCTCTTTTGACTGGTCTGACTTGACTGTCTTCCCCTTCAGCCCCCAAGTAGAGTTGCCTCCATATCTGGAACGTGTGAAGCAGCAAGCCAACGAGGCTTTTGCCTGCCAGCAGTGGACCCAGGCCATTCAGCTTTATAGTAAAGCTGTGCAGAGGGCCCCTCACAATGCCATGCTCTATGGAAACCGAGCTGCTGCCTACATGAAGCGCAAGTGGTAAGTGAGCTATACAGAGGGGACTTGGCCAAAAAGGGATAAAGCAGCTGGATCAGAAGGCAGTGGGTCTCATAGATCCATGTTACCAAGACATCCGGAAAGGTAGTAGTAGCATCCTGCTATCTCTTAGGGTTTCTTGAGCCCAGCTTTCTCCTCCCCACCACCAGGCTAAGTGTAGACAGGTACACCAAGTCTCAGGTCACAAGCACCAAGGAAGTTCAACATGTTGCGTTAGCAAGTGTTGTGGCCACTGAGGAAGTAGTAGTCGAGAGAATGGTTAATCTAGTTGTTAGAGAATTGGACTCAAAATTGAGGATTTAAATTGGTCTTTGAGGAAACTGTAGAATCTTAGTAGGTGGAAACAAAGAGTTTGATGAATTTAGCTGATACATGTCTAAAACAATCCTGTAACTCTTTACCCCGGGGCTTACTTTCTATCCTCTAGACCCACTAGACCAAGCACAAGTGAAGTCCTAGAGATTTGAGACCAGCATGGCTCATGCTAGGATATGATAGTAGGTCCAAGGAGCCCCCCATCTTTGGAGACCATCAGGGGCCTCAGCCCTTATCCCTGCAGCACCAGCAGGCAAGCAGGCAGGCAGACCCCCATCCCCCAGTCAGGGCCAAGAGATGGATAGAGCTGGGCCCACAGCCATTTCTGCTCCGTCTGGCATCCGTCGGCTCTGCCCAGACAGACAGGCCAGCTGGTGTGCCATCGTCTGGCTGAAACTAGGCAGGCCTGGGGAAGCTTAAGAAACCTACCCAAGTGAACAGGATCGTAATTAGGAGGTAGGGAAGATGCCATCCCTTCAAGCCGTATCTCAGGCATCAGGAGTTTGCCCAGGATGCAGGATTCAGGAGACACTCAGATCTTGCAGGTGACTATTTTAGGGCCATCCTTAGCTGTTTCACCTCTGTTCCAACAGTTGAGTAGAATGTGGCAGTCCTCACCAAGGCTCTAGACAGAGAGTTCAGTTTTATGCTTTTGTTCTTGTTAAAAGAGATTGGTGATTTTCCAATCCATGTGTGCCCTCAAATTGTTCTCTGAGCTCCTGTCAAATGCTGTATACTAGGGACACAGAATTCTGTCTCTCTGAGTCCCTTAGTCAGGAGATAAAAGTCCATATTTCAGCATCAGAGAGGCAGAAAGCAGTAAGCCTGATGATCAGGTAAAGTGCTGTTTTGTTTCGTTTTTTTTTTTTTTTTGTGACAAGGTCTCACTATGTGGTGCAAGCTGGCTCTGAACTCACTATGTAGTCCAGGCTGGCCTGGAACTCATGGCAATACAAGTGCCTCAGCCTCCCAGGTGCTGGGATTACAGGTGTGCACCACCACATTCAGCTTAAAGTGCTATTGGCATCAAGAAAAGTTGGATCAGATGCAGAGTAGCTAGTCATGGTGGTGCACACCTGTAATCCCAGCACTCAGGGAGGCTGACGCAGAGGATCAAAGTTCAAGCCTAGCCTGGGCAGTTAGCAACTTAGCAAAACCCTGTCTCAAAATATAAAAAGGGCTAGGGATACAGCTTAGTGCAAGGGCCCTGGGTTCAGTCCCCAACACTGCAAAAAGAAAAAGAATAAAAGAAAGCCATGATGTCTGAATGGGCTTGAAGTGTGGGCAGAATTAGACAAGAAGATGAAGAGGAGGAGGGGATGGTAGGAAAGGACATTCCGGGGAGATGAAATGGTGTGAACAAAGGCGTGGGGGCTGGGGACTGACTGAAGAGCTTGCTTCAGAACAGCAAATCCATTTGGCTGGAGCAGAGGGTTGGGGAAGGGACTGGCAGGAGATGAGTCTGTGAGGTAGCCTGGGGCCGGCCTGGGAAGGGCTTGGAATGCAGAGCGGTGGCGTTTGGCCTGGATTCAGTGCATGATGGGCAGCTACTGGAGAGTGTTGATGTAGGAGAGGGATGTGTGGAGGGGCTGTCCTTTCAGGGAGATTGATCTGGCAGTGTTTTTAGGATGGTGAGCCCTAAGGCCAGCCTGCTCTCTCTTTCCGTCTCCACATGTTTGCCAGTGACCCCTAGAATGTCACATTCTGTCCCAGGCCCATCTCCCCAGGGCTACCATCTGCTTCTGGATGCAGACCACCCTCTGGCTCCTGACTGGTCCCTGGTCTGGCTCTCCCCAGGAGCTCAAAGGGGCACCTTGCAGGCAGTAATTGGGTTTCCAAACGGCGTCTGCTCCTTCGTCATAGCCATTCATTCTGACGCAGCCCTTGTCGTCAAAGCAGCTCTGTCTCCTTCCTGTCCCATGCTGCTGGTTCCTGGTCTGAGCATGGCTGCTTCAAGACTGAGTGCTCCCTATAAGTGCTGAAGGGAGAGAAAGGGTAGGAGAAGTCTTCCCATGTCAAGCATGCTTTGGCCATTCAGGAAGGTTGTGAGCCTTACCATCATCTCTGGCTTGGCTCAGCTCACCCTAACCCTGAAGGGGAGAAAAAAATACATACTTCTAAGGAGAAGCAATTCTTGTGTTCTGCCTGGCTTTCCAGACAAGAGGCGAGAACAGCTCTCTGGGAGCTGGGGATGCATGCCTCCTTTATTCTGGCACAGAGTGGGAGAAGGAGGAGCTTCTTCTTTTATCTCCTCCCACTTACTTCTCGTCTCCCAAAATGAAAAACTCTCCCACTTCCTTTCATCCATACTCATCCACTAGGTTGGAGAAATGAGTGGGAATGACTGGGAGCGTTCACAGCCCCCTCACCATCAGCTTCCAGAGAGCTGACTCTGCCAGACAGTCCGACCCCATCCTCCAGCCCCAGGAGGTAGAGGCCACAGCTGCTGCGGATCAGTCAGCCAGGACAGAGGGGGGTCTGGCTGAGTGCTTGCTGCCTGCTGGTCAGACCCTGAGTCCCTGGCCTGGCACTTCTGGCTTCCCTAGACCACAGAACTGTCCTTGAGGACCCCCTGCATTGGATATGGCTTTGAAGGCCAGCAGGGGTATTTGAGGAGGTGGATGAAGGAAAAGAAGGAGGGCTTGGGGAGCCTGAGATGGGCAGGATGCCAGGCCTTCTGCTGCAGAGCTGCGGGTGCCTGGGGTGAGCTGTGCACAGTTGCAGTGTGGGCCCAGCAGAGGGCAGCCTGACATCATTTTTGCTACCCCCAAGCCCTAAGGTTTCTGGCTTGCTTCTTAGCATGCTCCCAGGAGGGAGGGCTGGTTTGAATCAGGATTCTCTTCATTCCCCTCACCCTGAAATCTGTCAGAGGTGGGCTGTGTTGGCCACGGAAAGCAGAAGAAACTGAGTGAGTACTCCTTGCTTACCACTTAGCCCCACCTCCAAACTATTCCCATGTCTTCCCAGGGATGGTGACCACTATGATGCCCTGAGGGACTGCCTCAAGGCCATCTCCCTAAACCCATGCCACCTGAAGGCACACTTTCGCCTGGCTCGCTGCCTCTTTGAGCTCAAGTATGTGGCTGAGGCCCTGGAGTGCCTAGATGACTTCAAAGGGAAGTTCCCAGAGCAGGCCCACAGCAGTGCTTGTGATGCCTTGGGCCGTGACATCACAGCTGCCCTCTTCTCCAAAAATGATGGTGGTAAGTGAGCACTGAAGAAGGGTTACTGTCACCTATTTAGGTGCTACATGACCTGGAGAGGGCATGGTTCTGGGTTTGGAGAGGTCTAAATTCAGATGCTGATTCAGAAACCACAGGACCTTGAGTCTCTCTGAGACTCAGTTTCCTCACCTGAAAAGGACAAACACTAACACCTCCCATTGGGAGTTTCTGTTGAGGATTAGCTATAACATATTCAAAGCACCTGGTAGAAGTAAAGTCAGCCCAGTCGGGCCATGTGGGCTCCACCTGGGCCTCCCAACCTGCTCACAGACAGGGCCATGGAAGCTCCACTGGGCTAAGAGGCAAGAGCTGGTTATTGCCTTGATTGGGGTTTCTGTAGGTGCAGCAGACAGCAGCATGGTGCAGTAGACAGTGCCATCAGCTCTACCCAGTGGTGGCTACGGACACAGCACACTCTCTGAACCCACTGCTCATCTGCATAGATCGTGACATGGGATTGGAGAGTGACCTGGGTCATAGTCGTGTGGTCTATTAACATGGAAGGTGAGCTCACCGGAGGCAGACACCAATCCTCACCTCCTTCTTTCTCCTTTGCAGTTTACTCACCTTCGGATTAGTTCATTTGTTTAATGAATAGTTAGCAGGCACCATGCTTGGTCCTGGGGATCAGGTGTGACTTCACCGTTGCTGGAGTTCACAGCCTAGTAAAGGAACAAGTCCTGAAGGAAAGACAGAGAAGGACAAGAGGCAGGGCCCTGAGTTGAATATATAGGAGAGGCATGATAGCAGTCTGGGGATCCTGAGGAAGAGACATAGAATCAAGATGATAGGCGTACAGAGGATACAAAGCAGCTGAGGAAGGTATCGGCATATTCAAGGTCTCCAAAAGAAGCGAGAAAGTGACCCTTTCAGGAACCAAGAAAACTAGCATGATTTTACCTGTCAGTCAATGTCACAGTTGGGATCTATAATAAAACTGACCCTTCTTGCCTTAAGAGCTAAGAATTTATCTGTAAGAACCACCCATTCAAGCTCCCTTTGCTAGTGCCTCCCATTGTCCTAGCCTGCCTCTCTCTCATCCACACAAACATACCTTGAGCCTATGCATCCATGGGGCTTCCAGGCCTTTACTTGGAGACCTGAATCAGTACTCTTCCTGCATCAAAGGTCCTTTTAAATACCCTCAAAAGATAGCAGAGCCCAGTGATGTATCTTCCTTTCCTACAACTTTTTCCCAGTTTTCCAGAGTAAGAGTCAAAGCAGGCAGCCTTACATTGCCAGTATTTGGGCTGAAAGAGGGCCTTGGGAGGCTAGGGAAGGAGGGACAGGACTCTCACCTTTCCTTGATCTGTGCCCCCAGAGGAGAAGAAGGGAGCTGGGGGTGGTGGCGGCCCTGTCCGACTCCGAAGCACAAGCCGCAAGGATTCCATCTCAGAAGATGAGATGGTGCTGCGAGAGCGAAGCTACGACTACCAGTTCCGCTACTGTGGCCACTGCAACACCACCACGGATATCAAGGAGGCCAACTTCTTTGGCAGGTCTGAGGCTGTGACTGGGAGGGGCTCTGGGCTCTGTTGGGCAGCAGGTGCTTAGAGGGCACACTGAGGGCACAGTGCTTTAGAAAAAAATCAGCTTGCAGTTTTGCCTCTGTACTCTAAGGCAAGTGGCTTCACCTCTGTCCATCTCAGTTTCTTCATCTACAAAATGAAACCAGCCATACCTACTTATGGATCCATAACAGAAACTAATGAGATAACCCAAGTGAAGCATCCGGTCCAGGGCCTGGGCCTTTTTTTATCCCTGCTCTGCCATCTGTCTGCATATGCCAGACCTTACTTTTTTTTTGGTGGGGGGGGGGGGTACTGAGGATCGAACTCACAACTGCACGCCTGCAGACATTACTTTTTTTTAAATTCAGATGCTCAAAGATTTTCTATGCTACAGGAGGATAAAGCAAGAGCCCTCAGAGACTGAGATTCTTGGCTTACCTGTTGTATGCTCAGAACTGCACCCTGGCTACCAAGGGATAGAATCCAGGTCTCAACCCTCCATTATAGATTAAGTTTAGAGTTTCTTTGGCTAAGGGAAACACATGAGCATGAATCAGAAACTTCATCATCAGTCTCCCCTCTAAATATTGTGAGTAGTATGTGAGGGCCTGAGCTGTAGACACTAGATTTGGAGTCTGGATCCAAGAAACCTAGAAAGCTGGACATGGTGGCACACACCTATAATCCCAACACTCAGGAGGCTGAGGCAGGAGGATCGACATGAGTTTGAGGCCAGCCTAGACTACAAATGAGTTCTAGGCCAGGCAGAACTTCAATAGTACTGAAGCCATGATTGATATTTTAAAAAAAAACAAAAAAACCTGGCACCAAGGAGGTTATAACTTACTTTTGAAGGAGACTATCTTAAAGGGACACAAGTAGTCACTGATCCATGATAAGCAGCTGCCAAGGAGAGAGTCCTATGAGTTCCAGGCCAAAAGCAGACCCCTGCGTATGGGGGACTGACTCCAGGCTTCCCTGCTTCCCCTTGCCCTGGGCCACATAGCCTTTTTTTTTTTTTTTTTTTGTCTTTTTCATTTTTATCGGTATCAAGGATTGAGCTCACGACCGCTTGCTTGCAAGGCAGGTGCTTATGCCACTGAGCTAAATCCCTACCCCCCACATAGCCTTTTGAGACTTTAGTGTCGTACCCCTCTGACCTCCCTGCACTTTGCCCCTTTGCCAGCAATGCTCAGTACATCGTCAGTGGCTCTGATGATGGCTCCTTCTTCATCTGGGAAAAAGAAACCACCAACCTTGTCCGCGTGCTCCAGGGGGATGAGTCCATTGTCAACTGCCTGCAGCCACATCCCAGCTACTGCTTCCTGGCCACCAGTGGCATTGACCCCGTTGTGCGACTCTGGAACCCCCGACCAGAGGTGAGAACATGGGCCAGGTGACCAAAGCTCCATGGAGCAAAGCTGGGGAGGGACTCTGCGCAGGGCCTCTGGCGGAGCCTCTGAGGCTGAGAAGACAAATAAACCATGCAGAACCTAGAAGTGCTGGATGAGTAAGCTTTTACGCTAGGCCCCAAAACTGGGTCAAGGTGGGAGGCCTTAGGTCCTAGAAGTTCTAAATAGAGTGGGGAGTTCTGTGGGCCTTCGTGGAGCATGTCCTTGAGCCAGCTACAAAGTTGAGATGCCCATATACAAGCTGGGATGAAGGTGGCAGAGGGAGAACCAGACCAGCTGTAGCCCCTCATCAGAAGGGTGCCTCAGAAGTCCCCTGGGAACCCTTCTCTTATACCACTGTAGTGCATCTGCGCAGTCAGAGGGAAATTTTGAGTCTTATACTGCTTGTGAGGCTTAACCATTTCTGCACTGAAAATGGGGGTGACAGCAGTGCTCCAAAGGTTGCTGCGAAGAAAAGAAGTGATGCTTGTGAAGCCTAGCCCACAAGGACGCTTAGACTGCTGTGGCCCCCACCACGCCCAGGGTGGTAGCCCTGAGCCACCTGAGGCCCTCCCTTCTCTTCCCCATCTCCTGCCCTTTCCCAGCTGGCAGACAGGAGTCACGAGGTGGATCTGCTTCTAGAGCTGGTTTGCTTGGACTTGTAAACAGAGGAGCCTGCAGAAGCCTCCTTGAGAGGAGAGTGAAAAGAAAGATAAAGGAGGGGCTGTTGGGAGTACAGCAGGACGGAGTGGGGTGGAGCGTATGTGTGCTTCCCAGTATGCGTGCTTCCCAATACATACCCACCTTGGCACATCCCCCAATGTACATCCTGCTGTGTTTTACCCTGTGTGCACCCTGCCCACATGTGCATAGCCTGGTGTGTTGGGTCATGTCTTAGATTCACCCTACAGTGCTTCTCGTGCTTATCTTAGTACTCGTGCTCCCTTCTGCCCATGAACATCTGCTGTGCACATGCTCCTGGCGAGGTAGTTGACTCTGTGTGTTTCCCTCCCCTGCCCCTGTCCACAGTGCAAGCATATGTGCCTTCCTCATGTGTCCTGGGGTTCCTCACATTACCCCCTCTCCACACAGAGTGAAGACCTCACAGGCCGAGTTGTGGAGGACATGGAGGGCGCCTCTCAGGCCAACCAAAGGCGCATGAATGCAGACCCCTTGGAGGTGATGCTGCTCAACATGGGCTACCGGATCACAGGCCTGAGCAGTGGGGGCGCTGGGGCCTCCGATGATGAGGACAGCTCCGAGGGCCAGGTGCAGTGCCGGCCCAGCTAGACACTCTTTAGTCCCAGTCCCCATTCCAGTTTCTGGCTGGCCCTCCTCCCTGGGCAGGAGGTGGGGGGGTTCTGTTTCAGATTGTCTCCCCCCCCCATGTTTTCATTTCTTCTTTGTTAGTTTGGCATTGGGGGTGGGGGTTGCTGCACCTTGATGGCTTTCAGACTCTTGGGCTGGTTGTCCCTTGACTGTCACTGGCCCTGCACAGAAGAGCAGGAGGGGAAGCCCCTCCAACTGCCCCACCTCCTGCATCCACATCCTTGGAGGGCTCTGGGCTCTCTCAGAACCCTTTCTGCCTCCATCAGGGAGGAAAGGGCTGATGCTGTCTTCAAGAACTGCTGTGCCCTTCATTTGGCAGCAAGAAGGGGAATGGAACTCTCCTGGGAAAGGCTGGCCATGACCTGTTGCAGCTCTTGCTCTCTCACCTGCAAGGCTAGTGACCCCTCCCACGCTCTTCAGGGAACGTTAGGGTGGAAGCAAAGAGAAGGAAGGACTGGAGGCCAGGAGTGAGCAAGACCAAGCTACCTGCTCCAGTGGCAGGGAAGCCTCTTTGCCCTCTCCTAGGCACCACCTCCCGCCCTGAGGCTGCTCTCCCTGGCCATCTCTAGAGGCTCTGCCTTTCCTGAGGGACCTGGCAAGGGTGGGACACCATACCACACCCTACCTACCCATGCAGCCACTTCTGTACCACAGCCACTCTGGCCACTTGGGCGCTCCTCGGCCTCACTGTGACCTTTTTGCCAGAGCTCCCAGCCAGGCCAGTGCTGCTGAGGTGGCGCTTCCTGCTAAGGGCCCTTCTCTGCCCTCTCTGCCCTCCTTCCCACCCTATGTGCTGAGCCGCCACAAAGACCAAAGAAGTGATGGCTTTTTTCTGTCCCCTGCTGCTCTGGGGGGAGGGGGTGGGAAAGTCCCTAGCTCAGCCCTCCCTCCTTAGCAGCCCCAAGCTTTGAGCTTTACACTGGATGCAGCGGTCACCCGCCACCAAGCCTCCCTCTCCGTCTGCCCCCTTGGCTCCTGCTCAGGAGCTGCTCTGCGTAGTTGATTCATCCTCCCTTCCCTCTCCCTCCCCCTTCCCCTCTGTGCTTCCTTGGCTCCAGCCCTCCAGCTGCAGCCTCTGGGGAGAAGCAGCCTCCTTTCTCTCCCTCTTCTTCTCCCTCCCTCCACCCCTGTCTCTGCCAGGTGCCTCCTCTCAGTCAGGCTTCAGAGCAGCCCTGGAGACAGGAGGGCCACGTTAAAAGCTTTTTCACAGTTTTAAGAAGACAAGGGGGGTGAGGCTAGTGGTGGGGGGTCTGGCACCATCTCATTGCTTTAATCCCAGCGACACAGGTGGCAGCTTCTCCCCCTTCCTGCCCACCCCAGCCCCACTTCCCACCCCTCTCTTCTTCTAGCTTGGTAATGAAGTATATTTATTGGTGAAGGAAACAGCTGCTGCTGCTTCTCCTGCTGCTGGGACTTGCTCCCCTGTCTCTCCTCCATGACCTTTCTCTAACCAGAGAGCGGGGAGCGGGAGTATTGAGACTAGGCCCTGGGACACAAGAACCAGCTAGGGCCCCTTTGCTTTCCTGTGTTCAAGCCACCCGCCATTTCCTCCCTCCCTGTCTCCGGCTCCCACCCCCTGCCTGCCCAGTCTGGGCCCTGCAGTGTGGAGAGACACATAAGCCTTACTGTCCTCTGGGGGCAGGAGCCGAGCCTTTTTGTTGCTCTGCTCCCAGGAGAGTGAGGGTGACGCAATTGATTAAAACCATTTTGTTCTAGTTGTGACTGGTAACATTTGTGGGGTGCAAATGGGTCTTGGGGCCAAAGTGAGGGTACCTGGTCCTTCCCCGCTGTAGCTCTGTGAATCAGAGTAACCATGCTTCACAAGCCAATGAGGTCTACCTTGTAAGGTCACTGAGCAGTGACCACTCAACCCAGCAGGGTGGAGCACAAAGCCCAGCACTAGAGGCTGTGATTTGCAATAATCAGCTTTCATTCTGGCTTTCTTCTCTATAAAACGAGAGGCTTCCAATCTGAGTGACTTTTCAAACTTTTTTTTTTTTGGCTTTTCAATCTTTTTACCAGAACTCATATAAGAAATACACTTTTCAAGCTAGGCGTGGTGGCTCACGTCTGTAATCCCAGCACTTGGGAGGCTGAGGTAGGAAGATCTGTTGCGAGTTCGAGACCAGCCTGGGCTACAAAGTGAGCTCAAGGCCAGCCTGAACTGCAAGACCCCATCTCAAAAAAGACAAAAAATAAAAATAAAATAAGAAATACACTTTTCACACTGTGACCTGCTTATACACACACACATACACAAATAATGAGCAAAATTTTTACACAATAGCACTTAATCCTGCCACATGTAATGTATTCTGTTTACCTTTCTATTTTATTGGAGGGAAGAATGCTACTTATAACCTATTCAGTTGATTGGACAGCTTGTGGTTTTTTTCATGTGTTCTGGGTTATCAGATCATCTGTTAGACTAGAGCTTTCCAAACTTCTCGGCTCACACCACCATTAGCATTACAGGAAATTTTTCTTGGTCCCTCAAAGCCAAAAGAAATACTTAACAGGCCAGTTTACTGAGTAGTCAAACCCAACTCACCTAATAAATATTTATACCCTAATGAGTTGGTTGCTAATTAAAAAATAATATACATAAACTGGAAGAAATAATATCTTAACTGCAATTACTAAGGGGGGTCTTTGTATCTGTTGGGCACTGCACAGCTTGTCAGATTTTCTAACCAAAGGAGAAACCACCACCCATGCTTCCTATTCCACATTGACTCTCATTTGCTTTTTATCACAGCATCCACTGAAAACTCCACCTCTTAAAATGACATAGTTAGGTTAAAATGACATAGTTAGGGGCTGGGGATTTAGCTCAGCGGCATAAGTACCTGCCTGCAAGCAGGCAGTCGTGAGTTTGATCCCCGGTACCGATAAAAATGAAAAAGACAAAAAAAAAAAAATGACATAGTTAAAAGTAATGTAGTGGCAACATATAACAAAAGTACAAATTATTAGTTTTTTTCAGTAGACAACAAATGTTAAATACCTTTCAAATTTAAAATATCCTAATTTACCCACTAGAATCTGCCATGACACGAGGGTGTCTTCAGACAGTTTGGGAACTGTGGTTCAGTACTAGAGGTTTGGTGTTTGTGTTTGTTTGCTTTTGAGATGGGGTCTTACTGTGTAGTTCAGGCTAGCCTTGAATTTGAACTCACAGTAATCCTGCTACCTCAGCCTCCCAAGTGCTGAGATTATGGCGTGCACCACCATGCCCAACAGTGCTGAAGGAATGTAGTTTCACTGCTAAAACTTGGTGATTTTTCTGCTCATACATTTGTAAAGAACTAGGCAGGAGGGCTGAGAATGTAGCTCAGCAACGCAAGTGTCTGCCTGGCAAGCATAAGGTCCTGAGAATAATTCCTGGTACTAGGGGGAAAAAAAAAAAAAAAACTAAGCAAGAGCCAGCTGGGTACCCTTGATTTGGATACGGAGACAGGTAAAAAAAAAAAAGAGGTCCTGCCAGAAACACAGTAGTTGGTGTTACAAAGTCTGCTCCAAGCTGGTAGGAATTTTTCTGCATTCCCAATTTGAAACCTATAGGAACTTCAAGCTGTTTCCAGATCATGCAAAGAACAGATAGTGTTCCAGACCAAGGGAGTAGTGTGGTTTTATGTATGCTTTCTTTGACCCTGAGTAAGATAGTTTGGCTGGATTATAGAGGGTAAATAAGGGCCAAATTGTAGAGGATTGCCTGCGTTTGGTGAGAAGACTTTAGGCTTGATCCCTGTAGGCAAGGAGAACCATTACAATTCATCAGGGATTCCCTTGTATCTAGGTTATCTTTTGTATTGTGGTGTGGTCTCATTCTGTTGAACAGCCTACCGAGAGTTCCAAGATCCTCCTGCCTCAGCCTCCCAAGCTGCTGGGAATACAGGCATGTAGCATTGTACTGCTCTGTTTCTGTGTCTGGGTTGTGTGTGTGTTTTGTTTTTTGTTTCATGCTGGGAATCAAATCTAGGGCCTTGTTTGTAGCAGGCACATTGCTTAACCACTGAGCCACATCACCAGTCCCTATTTATTATTGTGCCAGAAACACAGTAGATGCAAGATGTTCATAATATGGAAAATTTAATTAAGGAGAGATGGGAGGATCATATCATAAATGAATCTAAACTGATCTTACACACTATACTGCTCACAAAAGTTAAACAGTATAACAGATGAGATACATGTAAGATACAAAAATATAAAACTTATACAAAATAACAGAAGAAAGTCTAGGTGACTTCAGGTTTACATACAGTACACTTTACATAAAATACCAAAAACAATCCATGAAAAAAAATTGGTAAGTTCAGTTTCATTCCAATTAAAAACTCAGTTAAGAGAATGAAAAAGATATGCCAAAAACTAGAAAATATTTATAAAATACATTATTGGGCCAGGCATGGTGGGGCACACTGGTAATCCCAGCACCAAGGAGGCTGAGGCAGAAAGATCACTAGTTCAAGATCAGCGTAGGCTACATAGTAAGTTTAAGGCCAGCTTGAACTACATGAGATTCTGTCTCAAAAAAGAAAAGTTGCTGTTACGTAGTGAAAGAAGACAGTCGGAAAAGTCAACACATTCTGTGATTCCAGTGATAGGACTTTCTGCAAAAGGCCACACTATAGAGTATTAAAAAAATCCGTGCAAGGCAAGCGCTTGTGCCACTGAGCTAAATCCCCAGCCCTGATGTTACATTCTTAAAGCATTTTGTATGTGTGACGAAGTTCTCAAAACTCTGCTAATAGGAAGCTTGGGTCTCACATAAGCCCACACAGTGAAACACAGTAGGCCTCTGACTTACAGTCAAGCTGCAAACTTGCGCAGGTGTATAGTACTACCTAAGGCTCACTTTGTTGGCTTACAAACAAATCTGACGTATGAACAATTCTGGAGTGGAATTTGTTCATAACTTTACAACAGAACAGACACAAGCACAGCAGTGGGAGGTGGTGGCAGCCAGGGTCTGGCTATGTATTTAAGGATGACCTTGAACTCTTCCAAGTGCTGGAATTACAGGTATTGGCTCCTAATGCTAAAGTGTGTTTACAGGCATACAAGAAATGTTTGCAGAGCTTAAAAGGCAGTAAGTTAGCTAGTTCAGAGGTTCTCAGCCCTGGCTGCCTCAGAATCATCCAGATCCAGGATGCTTATAAACTTCCCAAGCAAGCAGGGCCTTGTGCATACCTGTGAGCCTCATACTCTGGGAGACAGAGCGGCAGGCAAGTTTGAGTGCCACCTGAGCAACTTGGTGAGAATCTACTTCCGATATTTAAAAATAAGTTAAAAAAAAAAAAAAGCCAACGATATAGCTCACTGCCTGGCAAACATGACGTCATGAGTTTGATCCCCAGTACCAAAAAAGTAAAAAGGATTGGGGAATGCATGTGAGTCACTGTGAAGGCCTTGGGTTCAATCCCCCAGGATTAAAGAAATGGAGGAACTAGAGTCATGAAGTTCAGAACTATGAATCTAAATAGCATTTACAGAGAGAAATGTGATGAAACTAAAGGAAAATGAGGGTGAGAATAGAAGGAAATTTTTGTTTTTAGAGAGCTGGGCTGGACGTGGTAGTATGTTTGTAAGCCTAGTATTCAGGAGGCTGAGGCAGGAGGAGGGCTCTGAGTTTGAGGCCAACAATAGAATGAACGGGGATATAGCTTGATGCGTAGGACAAGAGTACAATCCCCAACACCACCACCAAAAAAAAAAAAAAAAATGCCACGCTCACCAGTAGGAATTCATGTAGGTTTTAATTTATCTGAGGCAGAGTTTAGGTATCTACTTTTTGCTTTGGTATTTTGTGTTTTGACACAGGGTCTTGCTCTGTAGTCAGGCTGACCTTGAACTCATCATATAGTCTAGGCTGACCTCAAACATGCAGTGATCCTCCTGCCTTAGCCTCCCCCATACTGGGATTACAGGCATGTGCCACAGCTCCTGACTATAAGTATCCATTTCTTTAAAGCATTCTGGATTCATTTTACTATACAGCCAGAGCTGAGAACCACTGCTCTAGCCCTATCTGTATTGCACAAATATGGACAATAAGTTCCAGAGGGGGGTAAGAAAAGGGATGCCTTGCTCCAGGACCCTCAGAGAATGAAATACAGGACCAAGATTGCATCCCTAATCTGTGGTTCTTAGTCCAGTTTTTTTGTTTTCGTTGTTTTGCACTGGGAATCAAATTCAGGACCTCACACTTGCCAGGCAGGCACTGTGCCACTGAGCTGTAGTCCCAGCCTATTAGTCTAGTTCTTGAAAAGTGATTTTCTTAGCATGCTTTAGGCCTTGGATTCCAACCCCCAACACACATACACACACACCATGGAAATTAAACCCAGGGCCTTTGCTGTGAGCTACATCCCCCTCCAGAGTAATGGAGTTATAGTATACACCACCACATCCAGCTAAAGAGTCATTTTTTAAGAAGATAAAAAGTCTGATACTTTCTGAGCTTCTATGGAGTGCCTGGCGTAGAACAGTGGTGACAAACCTATGGCAATGTGTGTTGCAGCCAGCTGTTTATGACCATTGAAAGCTCTAAAAGGTTCACCATCACTCTTCTAGAGCCTCCAGGTTATCTGGGAGCTGTAGTATATCAAACACCAGAGTTGTGGGGCTGGGGATTGAGCTCTGACTCAAGCACCTGCCTGCCAAGTGTAACGTCATGAGTTCAATCCCCGGTACAAAAGAAAAAGAAAATACCAGGGTCGTGCGTGGCCCATGGACACTGGATTTCACTGTGAAACGCGTCCTCTCCAGTACTTTCTGTGCTGAAGCTGTATTGTCAGGCCTAGGGATACAAGTGAGTTTGGCAGAGAAGATGGGCAGATAGGTGTTCTGATGGGCATGACAACGGCCATGTGACACTCCATGATTCCAGCTCCAGCTCCCAGATACTTTTTTCCTTTAATGGGTCCTAGTCCTAAATAGCCATATTTTTAAGTTAATTATATTGTAGACTCTCAGGCTAATCTCCATCACTTTAGTCACCCTAAAATGACTCACCAGAAGAGACAATCCCTGGGCTGAGCCTCCGAACCCCAACTCTGTCTAATTTGTGATTAGACCTTAGGCATGGCCCTGAACCTCTTCTCATATTTTCTCTGCAGCAGAATGGCACGGTACTGTGTTACTCTGGTTATCTCACTGCATTATAAGGAGCTCCAAATCACAGATTATGCCCATCACAGTGCTTTTGAAGTGGTTATGGGTCCTACAATAGTGATGTGCGGTTTTATCTGCTAGAGTGGCTACCAGTGAATCCTTATGTTGACCAGGCACCATTCAGATACAAGCTATTCAACCAGGACAAGATTTGGATTGCTATTTCCTATTTAAGAGATGAGGAACTTGATGACATGACAGCTGGTTCAGTTATTTTCCTAAGGTGATAGAGCTGAGGTTCAAACACTAGGCAGGCTGGCTGGATCCTGAGTCTACATGTTTAAACTCACGCTTTACTGCCCACCCTCAAGTCACAGACCGATTCTGCGCTTTCTACAATCTTGGGTCAGTTTACTCATCTGTAAAATGGAGTGAGGTCTGAAGAAGGGTTGTAAACTCAAATGTCTATAAAATCAGGCATTTGTCAAATAGTTTTTTGCATTGTATTGGCCCCGTTAGTTATCTTCCAACTATGGAGGACTATGTAGCCATAACACAGAGATACCCAGTTTCCCGTAGCTAGAGAGGAAAATGATGGCGCTAGCAGAAAGGCGGCAAAAGAGATGACCTGCCCTTTCACTCACCCAGCAGCACCTCTGCACTGTGGCTTGACACCTTCTGCTAGCCCTGTTTCACTATTGTACAGTTGTTGATTGGAGCGAGGTTTCCCCTTAAGGAGATCTTCTGTGGTCAACAAATAGCTCCTAGGACACTAAACACGTCCTAGCAGGTCCCGGGCTTGTCTACAGGGACCAGTAGATTCAGTTGGCCCCTTTTTCAAGGAGTTACAGTCTCTAAGGGGAAACAGACGTAAACAGCTAATGCTAATGCAAGACACATGAATATTCAGTAAGTGGAAACAGCCTTCGTGTGCTGGGAGCAAAGAGGGAGAGCACTGCCCAAAACCTTGAACTCAGTGTAGAAGAGGAAGGGAAGGGCATTACCAATTAAAGAACCATGTGAGCAGAGGCAGGAGCTATGAAGTGCATGGCTTGTGTTCTGAAAGGCAAATAGCCCAGTGAGGCTAGCTCCAAGCAGGTTGGAAGGAAATGAGACAGGCTTGGAAGGGAAACCTGGGGTCAGACTCCAGGGAGCCTTAAATGCCAGAATGAATCGATGGCCTGAGGAAGGTTTGTGAGCCCTGGGGACCCCTATATGAGACCAATTTAGGGAATGCCCTGCCTCCCACCAAGACAGGAAGTGCCCCACTCACCCTTCACACAGCAGCATCTTACCCTCAGAGGTTTGCCAGCTTGACAGTTCCCACTCTGCCACCCTTCTTTCCCTCAGCCAGTCCTGTAAGTGGATCCAGATGGTCATTCCTATTTTCGGTCAGTGTACGTGTTGAGGGAGGAGTAGCTCTGAACCCTGTCAATCCTGTTCCAAACTCTTCATGTAAAGGAGCTTCTTCCAGGCCCCTGTTGTGATCCGCTGAGCTTGAGAGGCAGTGTTAGCCTTTGATGGAGATTTCCCATCTGTCTATGGGTGAAAAGGAAAGCAAGAGCAAAGGAGATAAGGACAGAAGCCAGGGACGCTGTTACGCTGGGTGAGAACCAAGTGGTGGGTGTGTGGGTGTGTGAGAAGGGGCCCTGCGGGCAGCGCATGGTGGAAAACAAGCCTGAGAGGCTCCAGAAGAGTCAGAGAAGCAGCTGGCTTCTCCCTGCGGCTACCTGGCCATCATGCCCCTGCTTCTGCAGCTGCCCATGCTGAAAGGAGAACAACACAGTCAATAAGGAAGGAGCCAGGGCTCTGGTTAGAACCTGTGCCTCAGCACCATGCCCACCAATCTCCAGGAGAACCTTACAGAGGCCCACAGCAACCAGGCAGCTAGTGACCGCCTGTAATTCCAGCACTGAGGGAAACTGAGGGAAGAGAATCACAAATTCCTATCTCACCTGGGGTCCTGAGATCCTGTATCTAAATAAATCAATAAATGGCTAGAGAGATTGCTCAGTGATACAGCACCCCTGGGTTTACTTCCTGGTGTTCCCCCAAAGATTCAAAATTCAAGCCCAGCCTGGGAAATTCAGTAATTTGGAAAAAACATCTCAAAAAAAAGCCTAGGGGTGTGGCTCAATGTGAAGCCCTCTATTCACTTCCCAGTACCTAAACAGAACCCAGGGGTGTGTTCAATCTAAATTAAAAAAAAAAAAAAAAAGGACAGGTTCATGCAGTAGAGATATAGCTCAGTAGCAGCATACATGAACACCTGAGTTCAGTCCCCAGTACCACCAAAAAAATTTTAAAAGTTAATCATTTATTCATTGGACTATTGTGTATTGTAGACCTAATCTATCCCAAGCCCTGTGCAGGAAGTTGGTTGCTACCCTTCCGGGATCAAAACATTGCAAAGCCACAGGATAGGCACAGACATCCTCAGAACTTTTGAGTAAGCCAAGGGTGGTGGCACACATCTGTAATCTCATCACTCTGAGAGGCTGAGGCAGGATTGCAAGTTCAAGCCCAGCTTAGATGACTTAGCAAGATCCTGTCTCAAAATTTAAAAATTAGGGGCTGGGGATTTAGCCCAGTGGCCTAAGCACCTGCCTTGCAAGCAGGCAGTCGTGAGTTCGATTCCCAGTACCAATAAAAAGGAAAAAGACTTACAAAAAAAATTTTTTTTTAAATTAGAAAAGATCTGGTAATGTAGTTCAATGTGAGGCCCAGGATCCGCCCCCCAACACACACAAAGAATTTTTAATGGGGTAGAATTATTTTCAGCCATGGTATGTATGTCTTTGGAAAGCATCTACTAAAAAACAAAAACACCTACTCATTCAATAAACAATGAGCAGGGTTGGAGATGTAGCTCAGCGGCTCAGCACCCGCCTTGCAAGTGTGAGGCTGAGTTTAATTCCGGGTACCAAAACAAATCAATAAACAGTGAACATTTGCTCTCCATCAGGAACGGTACTAGCATGCTACTGAGGTCAAGGACCTTAGAGTTACATAGCAGGGACAATGTCAAGAAATACATTAAAGTATTGGGTCCAAAAGAGGAACACAGGTTTTCCATAGATCCGCACTGAGGAATAGTAATTGAAGGGAAACAAGACTGCGTGCCCAAACACACAGCTCTCACCTTCCTGAGTGGGTCTATCCCTCCTTCCTTTAACCTGACTTTATAGGCTGCCTTCCCTCTTGTCTTCCATACTCCCCTCTCTCCTCAGCAGATTTCATTTCTTTTCTCTATCTTGGCATCCTTCGAAAAGCCAAAACACTCCAAAACTAGAGCCTGGCCTCATGGTACTACTGGGTTGTGGTCTCATACAACTGCTTCATTTCTCCGAGCCTGAGTTTCTTATTTACACAATGAAAGGATCAGATCACATCTAAGTGTGATTTTCCTCCAGCCAGGATGATACTCAGTCTTCTGCACACAGGGGTCCTTCCAGCTTTCCTTTCTTTGTACCGCTGCACACTATACACTCCCCCTCCCCCATGCCACCTGGCAAACTCAAGACTCAAATATCTTCATTGGGTCGATGAGTCTGTTTGTCCGCCTTTTAACACTACCTCGTGAGAGGCTGAAGAAAAGGGTAAAAGAATTAGACTTTGGGTTTGAGTTGTGGCTCCCCGGCAAAGCTTCAATTGCTCACTTGTAACATGGGGAAAATACCTAAATTTGTGCATCTAATCAGTTTACAGGAACTAGAAATGTCAAGTGGTTGGCACCTAACAAGTGCTCAATAAATGGCACGTGCAGTACACCTATGAGAAGCCCTGGGATTACTGAATCCGAGAGTTCGCCGTAGTTCTAAAGAGCCAGACTACGAGCTGCCTGAGGGCAGTGCGGGTTGCAAATCGTCAGTGGGCGCCACGAACGCGGCGAGGCCGGCCGGGCCCACGGGGACTTGACGCCAACTCCCGAGGGGAGGGCCGAGCAGCGCGGACCTCACCTCCGGGAAGTGACGCCACGGGGACCAGCCGCACCGGAGCTGGTCCGCCTGCAGCGGGGTGCGCGCGGCATGGCGGAAGCGGAAGGGAGTTCTCCGCTCCTGTCGCCGCCGCTGCCGCCCCCTCCCGGAATGGCGGAAGTGGAGGTGCCGACGGCGGCCGAGACGGACATGAAGCCGTACCACGGCTCTGGCTCGGTCGCCATGGACGTGGAGCGGAGCCGCTTCCCTTACTGCGTGGTGTGGACGCCCATCCCGGTGCTAACGTGAGTTTCCTCTAGAGTCCGCGCGGGAACGAGGAGAGTTCGGGGACTGCTGGGGCCTTCGCTGCGACCTCGGGCCAGCGTGAGCCAGCTTCGGCCCTGCGCGCAGCCAGCCTTTTTTCAGGGTGCCACCGCAGGTGGGACACGCTCCCTGCCTTCGTGACACCTGGTCTGGTCTTGGAGAAAAACACGTGTGGGGCCAGAAAGGCCAGGGGGCCGGCATGCAGAAGGGGACCCCTGACAGCTCTTAAGAGACGCTCTCAATCCCTCACAGGTTTGTTCCCTATCGAACAGATCCTTACTGATCACTTAGACCCAAGACATCCTGCTGTGTCTGGGAGCAAGAGTGGGAGTTTGGCCCGGGCCTCCACGCTCCTGGGATGTCAACATTGGAAGGGCCACCAGAAGTCTGGGCGTGCAAACCTTTGTCGTATACATCATTTCGGTTGCAAAGCAGGGGCAGGTCCCATGGTGTCTGCCTCCTGGGCAAAGTTTCTGTCGAGAAGCAGGTTCTGTAAAGGTCAGGAGAGGAGCAGGGTACAAGGGTGCTGCTTCCTGCCTTCCTGTTTCAGCCTTGATGATTGGCAAGTGTGGGACAGTTTGCCAGTCTCTCACTGGTGAATTCACTCTGAATTTCACCACCACTTTTAAGGTGAGAATTATCTCATCCCATGGTGAAACTAAGCTTCTTAGACCACTGTCTTGGTCAAGGTCCTGACCGCACAAACAGAGGCATTCAAAGTTCAAGTCTTCTAATTCTCTGTTATCTAACTTTCTTTCAACTTTCTGTCATATAGATAGATAGATTGTTTGTTTGTTTTTGAGACAGTCTCACTGTGTAGCCCTTACTGGCCTTGAATTCTCAAGGATTGTCCTGCCTCAACTTTCTGAGTGCTGGGTTTACAGGCATGAGCCACCATGCCTCCCTTAAACTACATTTTATCTCCTCTCACTGAATGGAATAGTTTTGTTTTCTTTATCAAAAACAGCTAAGTAGGAATACAGGCATATGTCACCTACTTAGGAGTCTGAGTCAGGAGAATCATAAGTTCAATGCCAACCTAAGCGGTTTAATAAAAACCCTGTCTCAAAATAAAGAAGGCTAGGAGTGCAGCACGGCATTCCCTGAGTTCAGCCCCCAGTACTAAAAAAAAAAGCCAAGTGATAATGTGGCCTTTTATATATGCTGCTGACCCGAAAATGGCTTTAACTCTTGTATTTTGTTTAAAATACTTGAAGTATTTCAAATGCTTATGTTTGGAAGAGCATCCAAATCTGATTGTTGTTTGTTTTGCTTTTGTTTTGGGGTTTTTTTTTTTTTTTTTGGTACCTGTGATCCAACTCACGACCACACACTTGCAAGGCAGACACTTATGCCACTGAGCTAAATCCCTGGCCCCAATCTGAGTTTTAAAAAATAAAATATTTAAGAATATATGCTCATCAATTCATTCATTGTTCTTTTCTGTTTGTTTTTTGATACATTCTCACTATGTAGTTCAGCCTGGCCTTGAACTTACTATGTAGCCAGACTGGCCTCAAACTCAAAGCAATCCTCCTGCCTCAGCCTCCCTACTGCTGAGCTTACAGATGTGTGCCACCACTCTCAGCTTAAAGTTGTTGTTTTTTTTTAACACATTGGCAGAGACTTGTATGTGCTCAGATCGTTGTAGGTGATGAAAATGTACAGTGGTGAATAAAGCAAATGCAGTGATTGTTCTCATAGAATTTTCTTTGTTGCAGTCTTGGGAATTGAACCCAGGGATTGCTGAGGTATATCCCTACCCTTTAATTTTGCTTTGTTTTGTTTTGAGACAGATGAAAGGAGTTGGAGCCGGGCGAATCTTGAGATTAGGGTCTAAGAAACAAGATGAGCTACTTGCCTGTAATTCTGAGTGACTGTCCTAAGGCCCTCAACAACTCACTCTTTGTCAGTTCAGTCAGCCAGATAGCAAGTATTTATTTAATACTTGAAGATAATAACATTGAGCAACTACCAAATATAAGGCAGTAGTCCCAGCACTTTGCAAGCAGGTCCTATGTAATCCTTACACTAGCCAGCCATCGAGGTACTTACTACTATCCATAGAGAGACAGAAATAAGTAACTTGCCCACAACTAAACTAGATTCAGCATCAGAACCAAACACTTTTTTTCTAACTGACAAATAGTAATTGTATAAACTTGTGGGGTACAGCATGACATTTCAATACTTGTTCAAAATACGTAGTGATCATAGCTGGGTGTGGTGGCGAATGCCTGTCATCCTAGCAGGATGGCTGAGGCAGGAGGATCTCAAATTTGAACTCAGCCTGGATAACTTGAGAGACTGAGAGAGACCCTATCTCGGAGTTTTTATAAAAAGAAAATGGCTAGGTATGTGGCTCAGTGTGAAGGCTGTGTGAATGGGGAAAAAGAAGAAGAAAATATATTTTAAAAAAATATATATAGGGGGCTGAGGATTTAGCTCAGCGGTATAAACACTTGCCTTGTGAGTGTGTGGTCATGAGTTTGATCTCTGGTACCGGTAAAAGTACAAAAATAAAAAATATATATATATACACTGTATATGCTAACATATAGCATACATGTAAATGTGAGATCAGATTAGGGTGATAGGAGTATCTGTCACCTGAGACATCATTTCTTTGTCTAGCTATTTAAAAATATACATTTGCCAACTGTAGTTGCAGCACCGTATAGAACATTAGAGATTATTCCTCCTGTTAGCTGCACCCCTCCATTCTTACATGCAGAACGTTTGTTCATTTAGTTAAAAAGCATTGATTGCAACTGTATACCAGGCTCTCCCCTAAGAGTGACTACAGTAAACTACACTTGCTCTCATAGAATTTAAGTTTTGTGGGAAAAGACAGTCATCAAGTAATTCAGGTAACAGTACATAGATACTGTGAAGAAAGTGAAGCAGAGGGGCTGGGGATTTAGCTCAGCGGCATAAGCGCCTGCCTTGCAAGCAGGCAGTCGTGAGTTCGATCCCTGGTACCGATAAAAAGGAAAAAGACAAAAAAAAAAAAAAAAAAAAAGAAAGTGAAGCAGAACCAGGTGTGAGGGCACACACTTACAATCCTGTACTCAGGAGGCTGAGGCAGAGGGATCACCATGAGTTTCAGGCCAGCCTGGGAAACCTAGTAAGTTCAGAACCAGCCTGCACTGTATAGTGAGTTCTTGTCTCTATGGGTTTATATATATATATATATATATACATATGAAATAAAGCAAAGCTGGGTAACAGATCTGGGATGTCTGGGGTTGGATATGTCATCGAGCAGCCTCTGACCTGGCCTCCCTCCTCACATCTGCCTTCCCATTCTTCAAACACATGCCATACTTTCCTGCCATACTTTTGGAGTTTTCTTTTCTGCCTGTCCTGTCCTGTTCTTTTGCAGGTCAAGGTTAAAAGTCACCTTCTCTGTGATGTCTTTGCTGACACCACCTCAGCCCCATGTGATTGCCTCCACCTCCCTAGCAAGGTGCTTGGTGCTCAGCCAGGTGCCTTGAGACCAAGATCAGGCTGACTCTGTGAGTTCTGCTCAAGCTGGACGTATCTATCCATCTTATATACCTTCTGCACCATGTCATATACTATTTTGTTTTATAATACATTGTAGGGTGTGGCTGTCAGGCTACAACAAATCTCGGCTTCCTATGTGTTACATAGTGGAGTCTATCTAAGATCTGTAGGGTTTATTGTTTGTTTTCTTTTTGGATATTGTACCCAGAGCCTCATGCATGCTAGGCAATTACTGATGAGCTACATCCTCAGATATTTTTATTTTTAGATAAGAGTCTTGGCAAGTTGCCAGCATGGACTCAAATTTGTAATCCTCCTGTCTCAGCCTTCTGGGAACCTGGCACTATAGGTGCACACCACCATGTCTGGCTGCCATGGGCAGTTTTTCAAAAGCAAATTTTATAGGGCGTGGCGATACACACCTATAATCTCAGCTACTCAGGAGGCAGAGAATCACTTGGGCACAGAATTTCAAGGCCATGGTGGGTAACACAGACCATCTGAGAAAATAAATAAAAGGGCTAGAATGTAGTTCAGTGATACAGTACTTACCTAACAAGCATAAAACCGTCAGTTGACCCTCAGCACTGCAAGTAATAATACCTAAGTGCGATGATGCGTGCTTGTAAGCCTGCAATCCTACACTCAGGAAGCTGAAGCAGGAGGATCCCCTGTGAGTTTGAGGCCTGCCCTGGCTACATAATAGATTCAAGACTAGTCTGAACTACATAATGAGACCCAGTCTCAAAGAACAAAACAAAAAAAGACACTGTCTTTAAAAAGGCTGGGCCTCTGATTGACATGCTTTGTAATTTTGTTTGTGTTATATTCTTCTTTTTTTTTTCTTTCCTTTTATGTTTGAATAAAATGGATTTGAATAAATAAAGAAATAAAAAGGCTGGGCATGTAGCTCAATATGAAAGCCCTGGATTCAATCCCCAGAATCCAAAATAAAAGACTAACAGATAAATATAATAAAATTTTTAAATGCCCATACTTTGTATTTTAATGCCCATGGCTTGGGCGGGGGGGGGAACAGTGGCAGCTTTATTAGGCAGGTGGCTACTTGAGGGGTAGGAAGCATGAAGAGTAGGTGGCCTCAGTGCCAGGCTGGCGGTGCTTCATGGGCTTGTAGGTGATGGAGAACTCACTGAGGTAGTGGCTGATCATCTCAGACTTGATCCCCACCTGGTTGAAGCTCTTGCCATTGCAGATGCCCACCGTGCTGCCCACCATCTCAGCAGGATGATCTTGTCCCAAAGGCGTGTCTTCTCTGTGGGTGGGGCCTCTGATTTGGCTTTGTGCAGGTGCCTCAGCAGACAGTGCAGTTTCCACCACAGGCCGCGGTTCAGCCGAAGCTGCCGCCGCCATGCCGTGCACGTAGAGCTGCATCAGCTGTTCATAGGACACATCCAGCAGCTGGTCGAGGTCCACGCTGCAGCAGGTGAACATGAAGAAGGTTGCTTCCTTTTCTGCTCTACTTCCACCATCTTGTCAGATCTTTGGAAAAGCACTTTTTTTTAAGGCCCATGTGATACTACTCCAGGCCTCTTCTTTGGTGTTTTGAGACAAGGTCTCTCTCTTTGTAGTCCAGGCTGGCCTCAAACTTGTGGCACTCCTTCCTCAGCCTCTTGAGTGCTGGAATTATAGGCGTGCACCATGACACCAGGCCTGGCAATAAAAAAAATGTGTGTGTGTGTGTGTGTGTGCGCGTGCTTTGAAGAGTAAATCTGTCAATGTAGTGCAGACTGACCTTGAACTTGCTTATGTAGTCCAGGCTGGCTTCAGGACAGTGCTTCTCCTGCCTCTGCCTCCCAAGTACTGGGGTTACATGCACTTCCTACCGTGGCAGGCCAGGCAAGAAAATTTTATTTATTTATTTTTTTGTACTAGGGATTGAACTCGATACCTTGCACTTGCCAGGCAGACACTTATGCCACTGAACCAAATCCCTGGCGAGAAAATTTTTTAGTGCCCATGGCTTTTTAAAAATTAAATTTTGCAGGGCATGGTAGTACATGCCTATAATCCCAGCACTTGAGAGGCTGAAGCAGGAGGATCACCATGAGTTCAAGACCTTGACTACACAGTAAGTTCAAGGCCAACCTAAACTACACAGCAGACCATGCCTAAAAAAAAAAATTTGAACTTTTAGTTCCTGGAATGCACCCTATTTTGCCCTCATCCCTGCCTTTGCCATGGTTTTTCTCCCTTGCCCACCCCACAGCGTTCCTACTGAGGTAGGCCTTGCATACTGTCTTAAATATGCAGCTCAGTGAATCGTGTTTGTCCACATCATGTAACCATCATACAGAGCATTGCAGAGTGCCTTTGTATCGTTCCCACCCGCTTCTCTCTGCTGACCTGCAGCCAGAGGTAGGCTTTGCCTTTTCTTGAATCTTTTGTTTTCCTTCATTCTGCTTTAGACTATGAGAGTCTGTTGTATGCAGTAGTTTGTTCTGTTCTTTCTTGTTCTTGTTCTTGTTCTTGTTCTTGTTCTTGTTCTTGTTCTTGTTCTTGTTCTTGTTCTTGTTCTTGTTCTTGTTTTGAAATAGAGTCTCACTGTAGTCTAGGCTGGCCTTGAGTTTGCTATGGAGCCCAGGCTGGCCTCCGACTCGGAGTAATCCTCATTTAATGCCCTACCTGTTTAATGACTGTCTGGACTCATGATCAGGGCACACTGTTCAGACTTGTGACCCACTGGTCAGACTTAAGAGCCATCTCTTTTTTCGTTATTTTTTTTTTTATAGTTTCTGTGTATCTTACTATTTTTTGTTTCATTTTTTGAGAAGGGTCTCACTGTGAAGCCCAGGCTGGCCTTGAACTCATTCTGTATCCAGGTTGGCCTTGAACTTGCAGTAATTCTCCTGCCTCAGCCTTCCAAATGCTGGGATTACAGGCGTGTGTCACCACGCCCAGCTGGGGTAGTGGTATTTGCCACAGGTCAACTTCTGAAGGTGGGAGGCCCTAGAGCCACGGCAGCAGCACAGCAAGTGGGTCTTATTATGACACCTTCCAAATGACATTCCTTTCATCATTTTGCTTATGCCAAGACCAGTGCTTTTTTGTTTTGTTTTGTTTTGTTTTTTGAGGCAGGGTCTTGCTTATGTACTTTAGCCTGGCCTTGAACTCACTGTGTAAGCCCAAGCTGACATCGAACTCATGGCATCCTCCTCTTTCAGCCTCCTGAGTGATAGTATTACAAGTATGGACCACATCTGACTAAAAAGGCATACACTTTAAGAGTTCAATTCAGTGAAGTGTTTTTTGTTTTTGCCTTTTGTGGCACTTGGGGTGGAACACCAGGCTTTGCATGTGCTGGGCAAGTGCTGTACCACTGAGCTATTCCTATATCCTGACTTCAGTTAGTTTCAGCAAGTGTTTCCAGCTATTTTGCTTATAGGTGTTACCAGCGTTTTTATACGAGGCTGCATGGGCACGAGCATTTGTTCCTGTTAGGTGTTGGGTTGGAAGTGGAGCTGAGGCCTGGTGTCCCATGCCAATCTCCCAAAGCGATTGAACTGTTTGTCTTCCCCCAACAGTGGATGAGAGTTGCAGCTGCTCCTTACCCTCTCCTGCAGTCTACGCTGTCACCCTTCCTGCTGGGCACAGCGCTCTTTGGCTGGGCCATGCTACTGGTGCTCAGGCAGCTCTCCTCCTGCATCCCCACCCTCGGGAGCACCCTAAGGAGTGCTCACTTCACAGCATTACAGTCAGCGCTGCACCCTGGGGAAGCGTCCCCAGTGCCTGTCTAACTGACGGCAGACCCTAGCTCTCGCCCTTAGCTCTCCTTTTTCCTCGCAGATGGTTTTTCCCCATCATCGGCCACATGGGCATCTGCACATCCACAGGAGTCATTCGGGACTTCGCTGGCCCCTATTTCGTCTCGGTGAGTCCTCCTCCTGCCAGGCCCTGGAGGTTTGAGGCTTGCTGCAAGGCTGGCCTGTCTTGCTTGCAGGAAGCTTCCTGTCTCCCCAAATCCAGGAAAATGGCACACAGCCCTGGCCCTCGCCCGGTGCCCTCCCCAGTGTTTGACCCCTTTCCCCGTTCTCTCGCCTCCAGGACAGGCCGGGAGGGCAGTGTGGCCAGAAGGATTGTTAACTAACTGACCCAGCCCTTTGCCCCCATCCCTGGGGTACCGAGACATGGGTAGGGGTTAGAGGCAAGAGTGGAATCAGACCTCCCAGGAACCACATCTCTGGACCTTCAGAAGGTGGGAGCCAAGGTAGGGGGAGGCTGATATGATTCCTGGGGTGGGGCTCCTAGAATGAGCTGTCTGTTTTCTCAGAGCCATTTCCTGGGGATGGACCAAGACTGGGTCATGGGCAGCTTTGCCTGATAGCAGAACTGGGAGAAGGGGTGTGATGACACCAGCCTCTTTACATTAGCAGTTGTCATGTGTGACTTAACACCTGTCACCTTAGAAATTATTTCACTCACGAGGCATATCCTGGTAATCCCAGCACTCTGAGAGGCTGAGGCAGGAGGATCAAAAGTTTGAGCCCAGCCCAACTTAGTGTCTTAATAAGACCTGTCTCAAAATAAAAAGTGAAAAAGGATGGAGGTAAGGCTGAGCACAAAGCCCCAGGGTTTAATCTCCAGGTGTGTAATAGTACACATCCTAGGGGCTGGGGATTTAGCTCAGCGGCATAAGCACAGCCTGCCTTGCAAGCAGGCAGTCATGAGTTCGATCCCTGGTACTGATAAAAAAGAAAAAGACAAAAAAAAAAAAAAAAATAGTACACATCCTGGTGGGAATGGTGTCAGGCTGCAGGCAGAGAGGCGGCTCCATGTGGGCCATCCCTGTCAGGCCAGGAGACCAGATTGCTGCTGTTTATACCCCAAAGGGAACCTCCTGCCTGTGGTCAGCGGCCAGAGAAGACTGACCAGGAAGTTAGGCCAGGAGAGCTCCTGGGTAACAAGTCACCTCCTTCCCACAGTAGGGCTGCTCTTGGCACTTTACAAAGCATGCCAGGCCCCAGCAAGCCTGTGCCTCACTTCTGCCCGCCCTGACATACCCCTCCTGTGTCACTGTCGCTGCACTTGAGCCACTGACCCAGACTTGTCCAGCCTGGATGCTGGCTCCCCACTAACCTCTGCTCTTGTTCCTCAACAGGAAGACAACATGGCCTTTGGAAAGCCTGCCAAGTAAGTGATAGCCCCAATGCGACAGCCCCAAGGTTAGGTTCCTCTCACCCAGAGAAGCAGGCCAGGCCCCCTAAGACACAGGAGTCAGCACCCTGAGGACAGAGTGAGGGGAGGGACATAGCATCTGGCTGGTCTTCACCTGCAGACCATACAGACCTTCTCCCCTTGGTGGGGTCATTTTCTGCTCCAGAACAAAGAGGAGAGAAGGGAAGAGACTGGTCAGGGTCACACAGGTAAGAAGTCCAGTAGTAGAGCTCACAGCCAGGTCTATGTCCCTCTATAACCTGGACTCCTCTCAGGAGCATGCAGACCGTTTAAAGTATAACAGAGCTGAGGGGGGGAAGGAGGCACCTGTAATCCCAGAACTCTAGGAGGCTGAGGCAGGAGGAACACAAGTTTGACCCCAGTCTTGACAACTTAGCAAGACCCTATCTCAATAAAAAAGGCCTGAGACGGCTGGGGATGTAGCTCAGCGGCACAAGCACCTGCCTGGCAAGCCCAAGGTGCTGAGTTTTTGATTCCTAGTAGCAAAAAAAAAAAAAAAAAAATTAACAAAAATAGACTGGGATGTACATCAGTGCAGAGGCACTGGGTTCAATCCCTAGTACCAGAGAACAAAGGTGTAAGAGGGGTACTGTTTGTTTAGAACTTTGCTGGCAAGTTCTGCTTAGGGAGAATAAAAGCAGATCAGGCTGTTTGGGAGAGGAGCAGATTTATCTGGGGGCTTTGGTCTTTGTTTCCTTAGTCTTGGGCACTCACCTGGGGTCAGTGTCTCAGTCATTGTATTCTCAAAGCAGCAGTGAGTACTCCGTGGCCCCAGGCTGCCAGGATGGGGGTGTTGAGGAGGAATGGGTGTCCACAGCAGAGGCGCCTTAGAGCAGTGTTCCTGACCCTGCTGTGACTCTTGTGCAGATGGATATGTGGTCTAGGGCCTCTGAGCTGGGCATTTGCTGCTAGGCTCCTTTTCAAAGACAATTTGGGGGTTTTTATGTTTTGTCGTTGTAACTTTTTGAGGGGGGTGTTGAGATAAGGTCTCACTATGGAGCCCAGGCTGTCCTCAAACTCAGGGCAATCCTTATGCCTCAGCATCCAAACTGCTAGGAATACAGGCACATGCCACTAGGCTTGGCTTTTTTTAGTTTTTCAAAGACAGTGTTAAGGGTATTCTTTTCCAGGCGGGAGCCCCTGAGGACACTTGGTGCGGGCCACCATGGTCTCTCCGCTCCTTCACCAAGCCATTTCCCCACACCAGAGCCAGAGGGCGCTGTGTCTCCCAGTGCTCCTGCCCTGGACTCCTGGGGCGCTACTGCCTGGAACACCCAGCCTGACTCATGGGCTTCAGCTCTGCCAGCTTCTGTCCCCCTCACCCCAGCAGAACATCGGGGAGGCCTGTGGAGAATGCTTGCTGCTAAGTGGACCCCACAGCATGATATTCAAGTCCCTGCATGATATCCCTGCTGCATCTCCTACACTCTGTTACCCTATTCTTCTCAGTCCTCCAGGAGTCCCCAGTCACTTTCGTCTGGGACACTCTGCACAGTGTTGTGCCTTTCACTTTGTTCAAGCTGTTCCTCCCTTCCCTGGCTTGCTATCCCTCTTCCTGCAAATTAGACTTGGGTGTCACCTCCAAAAGCTTTCTCATGCACTGTCTTCTTCCATTCACGTTGCCATGACAAAGTACCATCAAGGGTTGGTTCATAAACAACAGAAACTGCTTTCACATGGCTCTGGAGGGGAGGAAGGCCAAGCTCAGGGTGCCGGTCAATTCCCCGTCTGGCGAAGGCCTGCAGCACCCGCTCACGTCCTCATATCAGGTGGTGGGGAGCATTCTGTCCCCCACCTCTTATGCAGGCACTGATCCCTTTCATGAACTCCCTTCCCCAAGGCCCAGTTACTTCCCCAAACCTCACTCCTAATACTTCCACGTTGGGAGTTAGGGTACAGCATGTGAATGAGGGGAGATGTACCCCTGTGACACTCCCAGCTGAGTTAGTTCCACAGCCTCCCAGATCCACTGCAGCACTGGCTCCCAGCCGTCTGCTATGTGACTTTCTTCTGGAACTGGCTTACCCCACAGCCTCAGCATCCTGCTCTGGGCTCTCGTGGAGGCCACGGGGATCATTCATAGAGCCGAGAGGCCACAAGGGAGGTGAGCCAGTGCCCAGATCCCCTATCCCCCGCCAGGTACTGGAAGTTGGACCCTGCACAGGTCTACGCCAGTGGGCCCAACGCGTGGGACACAGCTGTGCACGATGCCTCTGAGGAGTACAAGCACCGCATGGTAGGCAGGCTGGCCAGCGGCAACTGGGGTGGGGGATTCCCCCAGGCTGTGCTAACACACCCCTTTCTGTGCCTCCAGCACAACCTCTGCTGTGACAACTGCCACTCGCATGTGGCATTGGCCCTGAATTTGATGCGCTACAATAACAGCACCAATTGGAATATGGTGACACTCTGCTTCTTCTGCCTGCTCTACGGGAAGTACGTCAGGTGAGCTGGGCTGTCCTCCAAGGACCGCAGCCATTCCCCGAGTCCTTCAGTCAGCAGAGACAGCTGGGCAGACACCAGCTGGAGCTGCGATGGCTCTGGAATGATGAACTGAGTTCCTGAGGGGAGGGAGGTATCTGCTGAAGTCCAGCTTGTCACCTGCTCTCTATATGTGGCGTTGGCTAACTGTCGTGGTCTCTGTGCTGCCACTGTCCTTGGTGGGATGGGGATTAGGATTCTGGTTCCTTGTGGAGACCACAAATCCACAGAGCCCCTTGCTTGGGCAATGTGAGCAGACGTGTCCACATAGCATGGTGTGGTGACCAGCCCAAGAATGCCTTCCCGGGCATCCCTTGTCGGAGGCCGGGTTCTGAGTAAATGGGCCCAGTGGAGGCCCACATGGAACTTTGAAGTCACAGTTCATGACCTGTGAGTCCAAGACATCACCCAGCACCTAGCGAAGAGAGCTCAGAGACATTAGGTGAGTTGCCTATGGTCCTACAGCACGGCCACAGGAGAGCCCAGACGTGGGAGCCAGCGCAGACGTTGGCAAATCTGCCTGCCTCCCACGCTTTCCTCTTAGCTGTGTTCATCCTTGAAAGTATTAAAAAGGAGACTCTTGGAGCTTTTTTCTTTCATCCTGAAAGGGTTTTAGAAGTGTCCTGAGAAGAACGTAGCTGTGGTTATGGAGAGACTGCGGCAGAGCCAGAGTTGAACCAAGGCCCTAGACTCCAGCCTCAGCACTGCTGACACTCACCAGCTTCTCCCAGTGAGATCTGTTACGAGGGGCCAGGGCAGCGGGCCATGGGCCACGCACGGCTTCCATCCCCAAGCTGCAGTTCCCGGCCCCCTCCTCCTGGCTGTGCGTGAGCTCGTAGGACCTGGGAGACTGAATATAAATCCACCTCCTGCTCTGGCCAGGGATCTAGACCCCACCAGGAACTGGGGATCCTTGAGAGCAGGCACCAGGCTGAGTCCCATCCATGTTGACCAAGTTTGGGGCTAAGGGAGTGATTCCGGTAGCTTCTTTGGGGCTGGCAGCCCTGTTGGGCTTGTGGATGAATGCAGCTTGACCCTATGCCTGCCTGCTCACTCCGCTGTTCTTCCTCCATCAGCATCGGGGCCTTTGTGAAGACCTGGCTGCCCTTTGTCCTCCTCCTGGGCATCATCCTGACTGTCATCCTGGTCTTCAACTTGCGGTGATGGCTGCCAGGTGGCCCCAAGCCCACCAGGCTCCTGAGAAGGCAGCCACTACCCTTTTGGTCCCAGATTCTCCCTCTTGACCCCTAAGGCAGAGTGGACCTGCTGCGAAGGACCTGGGGTCTGGGCTGCGGGATGGAAGTGCTGAGGATGAACATGGGCCAGGGCTGTCTGCTTGCTGTATCTGGTGGCTTTTCAGGAGCTCTGTGTCCCCTCCCTTGGGCCTGTGACCCCAGCCTTGAGGCCCCCTCCTTGCCAGCTGTTGGGATGGCCTCACCTCCCTCTATTGAGCTCTTCCTGCCACTGCCAGTGCCCAGGGCACACGAGGACCCACCTATGAGGCCACACCATGATGAGATTGGGAGTGGAAGCCTGCTCTTCAACCGCTGGCTCTGGTCTCCAGGTGGGGCGGGAGCACCAAGAAGTCTTCCTGGTGCCTCCCCAACATACTCCAGAGCGATCAAATGGGGCTGGACAGGCCCCTGCAGCACCCTCTTCCATCCCAGGGCTCCCAGCGCCTGGATCATCTCCTTCTGCAGTTTGGGGCTGGGCTTGCAGGGGAGGGGTGCAGTTTGGCGGAGTCAGTGTGTAGAACAGACAATATAGACCACACTTGGCCCCAGAAGGAGTGCAGGCTACCTGCTGGTGATGGCAACATTGGGTCCCGAGAATAGGTAGCCAGTCAGCAGCTTGTGCCACAAGAGAGCCGAGGAGGGGCTGCTCTTCCCACTCCACCACCACTCCCCGTAAGTTGCCAGAGGGGGCTGTGCCGCTGCCTCACCTCCTGCCCCGCGGGCTCCTTTGTGAGGGGCTCCCTGGCAGGACAATAAAGAATTTTTGAGTCCAGATGGTGTTCCTGTTTTTCCCTGTCTGTGGCTCACTCCTTCCATCAGCTCCTTCCCTCTTGGTGTTCTTGGGCACCTCTAACCCTGGCCAGAGGTCTGGTTGCCAGCGCCTTTGGCTGAGTCTGGCCAGTTCCAGGAACTCGTGGAACATCATCTTCTCTCACGACATCATGCCTGCCCCATGCGACTGTGGGAACTGCTCCTTCCTCCACCTCTGCCCTTCCAAGCTTGCTCCTGGAGGCAAGTGAGTCTGAGACCCCTGGCATATTCAACAGTTTCTGCAAACCTTGCTCCCTCAGCATTGGGGAGACTGAGGCAACAGGATTGCCAAAAGTTCAAGGCCAGTGTAGGCTATGTAATGAGCTCAAGGCTAGCCTAAACTACACAGTGAAACCTGTCTCAGATAAAAGTTTTTAAAAACCTGAAGCTGGACAATAACATGCTGGAGGAACGGTGTGTGGTCTGAAGGAGACTGGAGGAGGAAGAGACTCCCAGGAGAGGCTGAGCAGGGCCCAGGGCTGGTCAGTAGGGGACAGATGGAGATGGGGCGGGAAGAGACAATGCCAGAAGCAAGGGGCAGGGGGTGCCACCTCTGAGGGCCAGGGTGGTAGGGATCAGGGGTTTCAAGTGGTGGGATGGCAGTGGAGACTGGCCAGGGAACTGTGTCCAGGACCTACAAAAAAGACCTGAAGGCAGAGGGAGGGAAAGGGAGAGGCCTATGACTAGGCAAGCAGGTATCTTCAGGGCTGCCGAGAGGTGGGAGGGCTCCCTGAGTAAGGGGTGAGGATGCTGTTAGCCACTGTCCATCTGGGAGCCCTGATGGGAAAAAGCAGGCCACATTTCACCACAGTGGACACTCACTGGATATTGCATATGTAGAAACGTGTATTTATTGAGTGCAGGGAGCGGGCCATTTGATCCCAGCTACTTGGGAGACTGAGGCCAGAGGATCAAAAGTTCAAGACCAGCCTGGGGAACACCCTGTCTATGAATGAATGAATGGGCCCGGGGATGTAACCCAGTGATACAGCATTTGCTTAGCATTGCCTGAGCCTTGAGGTCAATCCCTAACTATAAAATAAAGGAGTGTGGGGGAAGGGCCCAGCAAGGGTTGAACTGTAGTGAAAGTCCTCTGAGTAGGGATTATTTCACCCTTTTAACTGGTGAGGAAAAGTAAGATCAACTCACAAAACATAAATTGGGCAGGCTGGACCTCTGGGGAGGTGAAGGAAGGTCACCTTGTTTTTCAGAGTAGTGTTCAAACAGAAGCTGGTTTTGATCAGAGGAGAACTGAGGCTTTCTTTGGAACCCAGCCCTTGTCCACCTCCTCCCAGGTCTGTGAAGTGTCTGTCATCCAGGTCCTGGGTACAGGAGAATGGGAGTGGACAGGCACCCTGCAGTGGAGTCAGCTTTTTAGCTAGCTCTTGCCCCCAACCAGAAGGAAAACAGCCCCAGAGGATCATGGTCCCAAAGCTGATGTTCTCTAAGGCCCAAAGGTCTGCTCTTGGGGTGAGCAGGATCTGGGTGCTGAATGAGGTGTTCAGAGGGGTTCCCCATAGACAGAGGGTACAGTACTTGCATCCTGGCACTGGAAGAGTCCAGGCCTTTTCATGCAGGTGGCGCCTAGAGTGGCAGAGTGGACAGAGACCACTGTGGCCAGCACTTCCTTAGAGGTGGACACAGTGGAATGCATGTGAGTGCTGGGGCTGTGTTGGAAAAGGGACACCTGGCACCAGCTTCATGCCACCTTGTACCAGTATTTTGTTTCCTTTAGGACAGGCTCCTCGTACTCTGCTATCTACAGTTTGCATAGGAGAAAACTACAACTCAGACAGGTTAAAGACTTACTCAAGGTTACACAGAGACAGAACAAGGACTTTGCTCAGGGGTTGCCTAACTACAAAGTCTGCAATCCTCCCAGGACTCTGGTTCTTAGAAAGAAAAGTGTCTCAACTTGGCTTTCAAAGCAGTTTCCTATCAACCCCTCTGTGGGCGGGGAGGGGTTGCTACAAGGCAGCTACTCAGTTTATGGACAGGCCGGCCAGGGCTCCAAGGATCCTGTGGGGATTACAGGATAGTATGGAGAGCTGGGGACATCTCCCAGGTCCAGGCCAGCCCAGGCTTCTCTTGAGAGCAGCTTCAGGCCACAGCCCAGAGAGCTGGGGAGTCCAGGCCCGGTTTTGCACCAGGCCCTGCTGAGGTGTTTCCTCCTCCCCCTCCCCTTGGCTGGGGCAGCTCCTTGCTGGGCCAGTCAGCTTTAGGCCTTCAGAGTTCTTCCCTGGTTCCTGAAACTTACCTGCCCTGCTGGAGAGCCAGAGCCACCTAAGAAGGAGTACTCCTATACTGGACCCTTACAGGTAACATGCTTTGGTGCCAGATCCCCTGCCAGTGTCCCCAAGAAGAGGCACTGCCACCTGGTATCCTGGGTACCCTCTGGCACCTTGGGGTTTGAGGAGGTGGGAGCCTGACTAGGACTGGACAGCTCAGGCAGATAGACCCTTCTGGTCTGTCCAGTGTTGAATCAGAGTTGGGAGGAGTACTTGATCAGCCTCTGGAAGGAAAAGGGGAACAGTGTCCCCAGCTTCAGAAAAGGGGACATTTGGTTTGGATGCCAATGGCTCAGCCCAGGCAGACCTCAAGACAAGGCTAGGCTTAGTTCTGCCAAGTGTCTTCCCCAAATTAGGGTGCGTGCATGCACACACACACACACACAGTTGCCCCCAGGAGCCTTATCACACATCACAATACGCAGCTTAGTCTTGCAGACAGCAAAGGAGGAAATGCACACGGTGCATACACCCACATGGCACTGTCACCCAGAAAGCACTGAACACCCCACATAGCCAATCTAGTCAGCCAGAGAGCATCACGCAGCAACAAGACACACAGACACTACATGGGCTCCTGCAAGCTTAGCATGGGGATATGCCAGCCACACCACAAGACACAAATGAAACACATGGTGTACCACAAAAATGTCTCAGATGAGCCTAAAGCCATTTGTGTGACAGCCAGCATCATGGACACAGCAATTTAGAAAGTTGTCACCTAGGAGCACACAGGGTCCCATAGACAGATGCACAGAAACCCCGGGCTCCTCAGAGCAGGCAGCAAGGAAACAGGCTTGCTCAGCTTGGGCACTGACTCATCTGGGGAGGGACAGGGCAGTGAGAACAGCAGACACATGCCAGGACCTGCCACCGAGCCACCCTCTTCCCACATCTCACCTACTTGGAGCCCTGGCACAGAAGGCGTGGGAAAGAGGATGGACTGCCCCGTGGCTTCAGCCACAGCCTAGCACTTTGTCCCCTGCCATGTCTGCATGCCCCTTTCAGCCGCCAAATCACGGTGATGCCTGGGCATGAGCTGCTTTGCCATCCTCAGCTACTGGGGTTGGGGGTGCCATGTGGCCACAGCAGAGCAGCCCAGGGGTCTGGGGCAGGCGGGGCTGGTGGTAGGGGAATCCTGGGGCTGGAGGCCCCAGTTGAAGTAGGGGCAGTGGTTACTTGAGGGGAGGAAGTTGGGGGTATGGGCTGGGGAGGAGGTTGCCTCAGACAGGAAGGGCAAATGGGCCAGGGCAGGGTGGAGGTGAGGAGCAGAGGAGCCGCTCCAGATGGGGAGGCTCTCTGGCCAGGAGGATGAGCAAATACAGGTGTGCGTGTGTGCATGGTGTGTGCATGTATTCCTGGTGTATGCGTGCATTCCTGGTGTGTGCATGTGTTCCTGTGTGTGTGCACATGGGTATATTTTTGCATGAAATCAATCAAATACCAGCTATTAGCCATGTGTAAAGCCCTGTTTTGAAGAGATGATCTATCCCCAGCTTCAAGGAGCTTGCAACCAGTTAGACTGGCAACGTGTCTGGCTTTAGGCAGAGGCATGTATTTGTCCCCAGACTTATGCAGATGAACCTCTCAGGATGGGTCTCTCTCTCTCTCTCTCTCTCTCTCTCTCTCTCTTCATTTTCATCAGGGATCAGATCGAACTCAGGACCCCTTGCTTGCCAGGCAGGTGCTGTGCTGCTGAGCTATATCCCCAGCCTGGTCTCCCTTTGTGTGCAGGAGCTTTGTGTAGGCTTAAGAATGTGTGTGTGCATAGCTCTCGGGGAATGGGCTATGCGTGGGTCTGCACAAATCCCTCCATGGGGGGATGGGTGTGCTTGTGCCTGTCTTTACCAAGTGTGGGTGTGCACCTGTGACCACAAGCATTCGTGCCTGCCTGCCCAGGTCAGTGTGCATGTGTGTCTGTGTGTGCCATCTCTGTGGTTCTTCCTGTGTCTCTCCTGCAGGGTGTGTGCACAGGTGTCTCCGTACACTTTGAATATGTTCCTGAGAGTATTCAGGGCTACGACCTAGGCCTCCCCCTTCCAGGAATTGTACCTGCCCTCCCACAGGGCACACATTTGGGGAGAGAAGGGCAGACATGCTGTTTGAGGGAAGAGACTGATCTGACCCCTTGATCTGCCCTCAGGAAGCTACTTGTGCCCAGCTGGGGCCCAGCCCCAGCTGATGCCCCAGAGGGGTCACCCATCTCAGGAGAGGCTTTGGGCTCTGTCCTCCCTCCCCATGGCACTTGACCCACAGCCTGAGGCCGAGGGATTGTTGGACCTCAGCTTCCTGACACAGGAGGAGCAAGAGGCCATTGCTGATGTCCTCAGACGAGATGCCCACCTGCGCCAGCTGGACGAAGGGCGGGTCAGGTGAGGCAGGGTGGCTGCTGGCCAGGAGAAAGGGGCCTCAGGCCCTTGCAGGTTTGTGCAGGTCCCTGCTCTGCTTCCTACCAACACCTGTCAGAATCCTCTGGTCCCCTCTGCCCTTGGGCAGCTCAGCGCTCTTCTCCTCTCTGGGGTGGCTGTCCCAACCCCCCCCTATCCTCCCTGGTGGCCTGTCCTGTCAAGCTGTAGCCACCACACCACTATGGCAAGGGCACAACCCTGCCAGCCTCCCTCATCTCATCTCTCCCCTCAGCCCTAACCTGACAACAAACACAATCCCTCTACAGCCTCGTGGATGCTCTGTGCCCCTGAACACACTCTCACTTCAAAGCTGAGGTTGTCTGTGCCTTCCTCCTGGAGCACAGCAGCAGAAGGCATGATAAACAGCTGGAGAACAGACAGACACTTCTAGCTATGCATGACTTACATGACCCTATTATCTGTAAAATGGGGTTGTGGAGCCCTGTCTCAGAATTAAAAGAAATTATGCAAGTATGGCCCACAGTAATCATTTAATGAATAATTTCCTTTTCTATCTGGAGAATCCTAACCCATCCTTGAAGAAGCAGTTAGGGGTGGGGATATAGTTTAGTGGTACAGAACTTGCTTAGCATGTGTGAGGGCCTGGGTTCAATCTCTAGCATGGGGAAAAGAAAAGAATTTGAGTGTCATCTCCTTCCTGGATCCCCACAGAGCTGGCCCTTCTTATGTTCTTCACGGCACCTACCTCCCCATAGCATACTTCACTGGATTCAGTCTCCCCACAGCAGGGGTCACATGTGATTTGCTGTTGAAAGCTGGGACCCATTGGGTGGCAGGAATATTGCCTGGGTGAGTAGTGACAGCCATGCCCTCCTCTATCCCCCAGCAAGCTCCGGGCCTCTCTGGCAGATCCCAGACAGCTGAAGATCCTAACAGGAGACTGGTTCCAGGAGGCACGCTCCCAACGGCACCAGCAGGTCCGCTTGGGCTCTGATCTTGTCCGAGCCTCTATCCGCAGGAAGAAGAGCTCTAGGGGTGAGAGGGACTTGGGCAGAGTGCTGGCTGGGTTGGGTGGACAGGGAGAGGGCCCCTGGGCTACAGTCCTGGCTGCCCCTATACTGTGTCTTTGGATGGGGTTAGCATCACTACGAGGGGCCTCTCCTGTGGGTCACAGTTAGACTTGAGAAAGGGCAGTCACCGAACTTCTTCCGCAGGCCCAGGAGACCAGGCTCTGGGCAGTGACAGGGAGACTGAGGCTGCTGGGAAAGATCCTGAAGAGGAGTCAGGGCCCAGGTGAGGAGGCCTCACAGGGAGAGGGGAAGTGATGCCAGTTACCCAACCCCTTCCCCTGAAAATCAGCTCTGTAACCCATCCTAGGCTCCCCATAGATGCGGAAGCCCCTTCAGAGAGACATGGTGAGACTCATGTGAGTATGGAATGACCCAGTGAGCTGCTGGTAACGTGGGGCACACCACCCAGGGTGCAGGAGACTGTGCCGGGGAAGCAGCCCCCTCCACCTGAATCTGGGGAGATCAGGGATGCAGCCCTTCCCTGCTCTGGTCAGAGGATGGTGTGGACTGACCTCTGAAGGAAGCCAGCCAGTAGGAATGGGCAGGACTGACAGAGATAAAGCCAGAACTCAGATGCTAGGTCCTGCCCAGGCCCATCAGCAGAGGCAGGCGTCAGGGTGTGAGGGTGTGAAGTACAGGCCAGACTGGTCCAGCAGCAGCTGCCAGACCTGCTCTGAGGGCAGCAGCCCTAGATCTGAAGCTGGTTAGCCCGGCTAGAGTCTCTCATCTCTGACCCCACCATGACCTTTGGCCCCTTCTTCAGTAGCCCCCACTGTGACCCCTACCCCTTGATTTCCTTAGGGACCTGATTTCCCCTCACCGCATGTCCCTCTAAAGGTCTCAGATCATGAGGAGGAACCCCAGATCCAAGAAGGTGAGTGGGAGTTTGTGTTGGGATCAAAGGCGGCCCTTAGTGACCCCAGTCACCATGTCCATCTTCCTCCTTCCCTGTCGGTGCCTGTGTGTGGCCGCCACGACCCCAGGGCAGCGCTGGGGCCTCAGTCTGCAGGTCGCCAGGGCTGTGAATCAGTCCCTCCAAACTGGCTCCGGGACAGGCAGGACAGGAGCCCGCTCAGCGGCTTGTGCCCCGTCCCAGCCCCCGGCCCGGGGGGCGCGCAGGTGGACTTGGAGCATGCGGGGCCCGAGCCGGAGCCGGAGCCGGAGCTGGAGCCGGAGCCGGAGCTGGGGACGAGGAAGGTGGAGGTGGAGCCGGAGCCCCAACCCGGGGCGAGGAAGGCGGCTGAGGAGCGGCGGCCCCCGGCGGCCCAGGTAGGCGGGAGCTGCCCGCGGCTACTTGAAAGACCCGGAGCGGATTCTGGGCGGGAGCGCCAGCTCCCGGCTCGGGGCTGCGCGCCATCCAGAGACCACGGAGGTGGGAGGCGGGAGGCGAGCGGGCGCCCCCTCACTTTCCTGTTCTTCAGGTCGAAGTGGCCTCCGAGATCCTGGAGAACGGGGAGGAGACCACGGGGCTCAGCCCCTCACTTGACCGCATGCTCAGCAGCAGCTCCTCCGTGTCCAGCCTCAACTCCTCCACGGTGAGGGGTGGGGTGGGGGGGGACCCGGGGGCCGGCTCTCCCCCACCCATGCGAGTGCTCGAGTGCTCTCTACCTCTCCCTCCCCACCCCTCCGCGCTCCGGGTTGTAAGCCCTCGCGTTCAGGCAGCCCCGACGTGAGCCCGGCACCAGGGTCCTGACCTCCCCTACCCTGGCCTGCAGCTGAGCGGCAGCCTGATGAGCCTGTCCGGGGAGGTGGAGGCGGGGGCGGTGCAGGTGTGCGGCTCCCTGAACTTCGCGCTGCGCTACGATCCCGGGGCCCGAGAGCTGCGCGTGCACGTGATCCAGTGCCAAGGCCTTGCCGCCGCCCGGCGCCGCCGCTCCGACCCGTGAGTGCAGGTTGCGGGGATGCAAGGGGTCCTCATGCGTGTGAGGCTGGAGGCACTGAGGAGTCATTCTCACGGCTCAGCCCAGCATCAACTTTCCTTGGCCTCAATTTCCTCATCTTCAAAATGAGAATGACGCCAGGCATGATGGTGCACGCCTGTAATCCCAGCTTTCGGGAGGCTGAGCCAGGAGGATCGCTGTGAGTTAGAGACTGGCCTGGGCTACATAGTGAGTTCAAGGCCATTCTGAACTACTTAGCGAGATTCTGTCCAAAAAAGGGGAGGGGAAAAAGACATGGGGATTAAGGAAGTCATTTCTGTAAATTAGCATGTGGCCTTACACGTAGGACCAGAGTTGTGGATAGTGGCGGGGGAGGTCCCGGGGCAAGGGAGAAGGCTCTGAAAGGGTCCCCTCTTTATCTCTGGCCCTCCCCTTACTTGTTCCAGCTACGTCAAAAGCTACCTCCTCCCAGATAAACAGAGCAAGCGCAAGACAGCTGTGAAGAAACGGAATCTGAATCCGATCTTTAACGAGATTCTCCGGGTGAGGCTGCAGGACCTTAAGGAATAGGGCTTCTCTTCCGGAGGGAAGAAATGCAAAGGGGGCTGCTCCAATCCTCCAGGAGGGCCGGGCTCATCCACTCTGCAGCTGCCTGCGTTCATTTTCCCTGCCTGTCCCCATCGCACCCCCGCATCCCGCATATCATGCGGCAGGACCACCAGCGGTGCTGCACTAAAAGCCACCTCCTGTCCCCAGTACTCTGTCCCTCAGGCTGAGCTCCAGGGTCGCGTGCTGAGCCTGTCCGTGTGGCACCGTGAAAGCCTGGGTCGAAACATCTTTCTGGGTGAAGTCGAAGTGCCCCTGGACACGTGGAACTGGGACTCAGAGCCCACCTGGCTCCCCCTGCAGCCTCGGGTAGGGTAGCAAGGCCTGCGTGGGGTGCCCCTTGTGCTGGGAACTAGCCTTGGGCAGAGCCTCTTTCGCCTCTTACTCTTAAAGCAAGGCATGTTCCTGGGAGGCCTTGCCCCCTGTCCCTGCCTGCTGACCACCCAACCCAGCCCTGGCTGTTGCAGGTGCCGCCCTCTCCCAGCGAGCTGCTCAGCCGCGGTCTCCTCTTGCTGTCCCTCAAGTATGTTCCTGCTGGCTCTGAGGGTGAGTGACCTGCCCACTGTGAGAGGCCACGCTGGATGGGCCCTGGGTGGCAGCAGACCCCTGTTGAGTGAGGTGGTGGACTTAGCCCTGAGCAGACCTCAGCTGAGCTCTCTGCAGGTGGGGGACAGCCTGTGAGCGGGGAGCTGCACTTCTGGGTAAAGGAAGCCCAGAACCTCGTGCCGCTGCGCTCCGGATCTCTGGACACTTTTGTGCAATGGTGAGAGCACCGCTGCCTGTTCCTCTGTCTGCTGTGGAGCTCCAGCCTCTTTAGCCCACCCTGTTCACCAGCTGGGTTTGGGACTGGGGAAGAGGCCTGGAGTAGGGAAGGTTAAGGACATGTTTGAGGAGCTGCATTTCAAGGAAACTGGTGGCGCCTGCAGGATTTACTGGAGAGCTAAGGCTGAGACTGAGAGGCCACAGGGTCCCTCCATGGAGAATCTGGAACTTGCAGTTCAGGGAGTTATTTTTTCCCTCAATGCTAGGGATCAAACCCAGGGCCTGAGGTTTGCCTAAGCTAAGGTTCTACCACTGAGCCATTCCTCCAGCCCCAGTGGTTTGCAAAATAAGCTTGGAGGACCTTTAAGGGGTGCCTCCAGAGTGGGTGTGATGGCCACACTTGCAATCCCAGCACTTTGGAGGCTGGGACAGGAAGATCACACATTTGATTCCTGCCTGGGGAGCTTTTTTTTGTTTATTGGGGTTTTTTTTGGTACGGGCATTGAACTCAGGACTTCATATTTGCCAAGTAGGTACTTATACTGCCGAGCTAAACCCCCGGCCCGGGGGAACTTAATAAGATGCTGTCTCAAAAATACATAAATAGAGGCTGGGGATTTAGCTAAGTGGCATAAGTACCTGTCTGGCAAGTGCAAGGCCATGAGTTTGATACCTGGTACATAAATACATAAGTAAATAAATAAATAAAGTGTTTAAAAGGGCTAGAGATATATCTGTGCAAAGATTCTAGGTTCAATCTCCAGTGCCACAAAACAGGGATTCCAGCTGGATGTGATGGCACACATCTGTAATCCCAACACTTGGGAGGCTGAGGCAGGAGGACAGCTGTGAGTTCTCGGCCAGCCCAGGCTATATAGTAAGTTCCAGGACTATGATGAGATCTTGGCTCAACAACAACAAAAATAAATAAACAAATAAATAAATAAAGGGGGGGTGGTTCCTCCAGATGCTGCCTCTCCCCCAGAGTGAAAAGGAGGTAGGTCCATCAGATCCTGTGCTTTCATTGTTTTTCTTACTTTTAAGCAATATTTTATTTTGCAGAAAGACTTGGGACACTAGTTGGGATTTAGAGGCATCAGGGAATCAGTGAAGCTCACTAAACCAGGGAATAGCAGAAAATTGCATTTCAGAGACATCACTCTAGGCTCTGTCCTACGAATTTGACTTATAAGTTTAAAGACAGGAGACTCAGGGGAGACTGATGCAAAGGGCAGTGAGGCTAGGAGCCAGGTCTTGGGCCGAGCCAGGGGACATGCACAGAGTGAAGAAGAAAGGATAGCACTGGATGACTATTGATTCTAGGGACGGGGGAGAGTGATCACCTTATTGCTGCCTACCTCTCCCACAGCTCAGTGCTACCTGATGACAGCCGTGCTGGCCGCCAGCGCACAAGGGTGGTGCGACACAGCCTCAGCCCCATGTTCAACCACACCATGGTTTACGATGGCTTTGGGCCTGCTGATCTGTGCCAGGCCTGTGCTGAGCTCTCCCTTTGGGACCACGGGGCCCTGGCCAGCCGCCAGCTGGGGGGCATACGCCTCAGCCTGGGTACTGGTAAGCATAGCACAGCCCTGGAGGGAGTATGCTGGGAGGCAGTGGCGCAGTGTGTGGCCTGCACACCTCTCTGTATTTTTCTGGGCTCTTTCCATCAAGATCTGGAAGGGACTGGGCACAACACATAATCTGGGACCAGACAGGTGTCTGTTGGACCTGACGTGTCCAGGGTGACCATGCCCGCCACCTCTGCCCACCCACATCTAGGCAGCAGCTATGGGCTCCAGGTGCCCTGGATGGATTCTACCCCTGAGGAAAAGAACCTATGGCAGACACTTCTGGAGCGGCCGTGTGAGTGGGTGGATGGCCTTCTACCCCTCAGAACCAACCTGGTCCCCAGGACTTAGCCCTACTCAAACCCTCTCTCAAGGCCACCATCCCAGGGCCTGCCCTTGGCTAAAGTCAATAAAATTTCATCTAAGGTCACTAAGGGCTGGTGTCTGTCTGCTGTGGATGCACAGTGCTGTAAAGTGCTAGGGGAAAGAGGTGGGGAAGGGAAAGGGACCCGATTCAGATACAGAGACCTCCAGGAATGCTCCCATGATAGCACACACACCTTCGGAAGGGGCTAAGACAAGGGTACTGTTTAATAGTGTTTGGTGCACCTGGGTGCCCGTAGTTGGTTCTCCACACTGGGGCTGGGCCCGGAGCCTACTCTGGCCCCACCTCCTGCAGTTGCCCTGGGTCCTGGGACAGGTGTGTCAGGAGCTGCTTCATGTCTTCTCCATTTCTCCATCCATCTGTGGGTCTGTCCTGTCTCTGCTGCCCTCATTCAGCCTCTCGGGGTCCCGGGGTTCCTGACATGGATCCTGCTCTCTGTGCCAAGATGGCTCTCCAGATGCGGCATACCATCCCTCCCCTGGGGGCAGAGGGCTCAATGTGGCTCAGCCAGAAGAAGGCCTCAGTTCTCTCTGGGACCCATAGCCTGCCCAATGCCACCTCTGTCCTCAAAGAACACTGGTGGCCCTGTGGTTTCCAGGGAGAAACTTAGGCAGGCCTGTAGCTGGGGGCAGGATCTGGCCAGATTCGGCCATGAGGGTACCCAGTTCATCCCTGGAGGGCTAGGGGTACCTGATTCGGGTGTAGAGGAGGTCATCTCGAGTGGCACAGGTGAGCAAGGCTTGGAGGGTGAAGCTGTGGTTCAGCAGCTGGTTGTGGACCCACAGAAAGAGATAAAATTACAGATAAATGTATCCAGAGACCGAGGGACTAGTTCTGTTCTATCACCAAAATGTTAAGGAAGAGCAACACTGGTTTCTGGGCCTCAGTTTTCCCATCTGTACCAGGGTAGGGATACATCAAGGACTCTTCCAGTATCAAGAGTCTCTGCAAGCAGAGGGAAATGTGAAAAGTGCTGAAAGGTGGACAGAGATGGAGTCTTTGGTCAGTGAGGTCAAGGACAACCAGCAGCCCCCACTCACTGTTTGGATGGTCCCTGAATCCACGTCTAGGTCCTGTAGCCACTGCACAAGGTTCTGATCCTTTGTGAGAGATGCTGTCAAGAAGTCGGGGGATGAAGGGCCGGGATATAGCTCAGTGGTACAGCACCTGCCTGGCAGGCAGGTGTTCATTTCTCGGTACCAAAAGAAAAAAGTTGGAGGATGAGCCTGGTGGTGCCTCACAGCTGCCACCCGCCCCCTCGCCTCCTCCAGTCAGGCTGGCTTACCTGGAGGCTCTGAGGCCAGGGCATAGGTCCTGGCCTCCCTGTTCATCCCCTGTAGTGCCCGGAGCACCAAGGCCTGGCACTCCCGTTCCTTCTCCATCAGGACCTTCCTAAGCCTGGTAGAGTGTAAAAGAGTAGAATGGGGTGGGGAATGGGCTGAGGACCACGCAGGTTCTACAGGTAATTGCGCTGGTCCTTACCGATCAGTCTCAGCCCGAAAGAGGCCCAGCTGCACTATCAGAGGCAGGGGGCACTGCTCGGTTTCTGCGGGGAGCCGCGTCTCCTGCTGCTTCTGCTCCGACTCTGCGTCTTTGCTCAGTTGTTCTGACTTTGGCGAGACCGTCTTTTTCTCCACTTCTGCCAATCGGAGTGGGGTGAGAGAGGATACCGGTTTGGGACCCCCTGACACTGTCGCCTGGAGGGCCATACTCTGGGAGGGACCAGACTGGGCCAGTCCCGGAGATGTCTATTTAGTCACAGCTGGCTCCTAACAGGCTCCCCACCATCTCCTAGGTGGTGCTGACCACACCCTCCTCGGGGCCACAGCCTCGCCCACTGGCTGCCGGGCGGTGACCTCTCCTACCGGGGTCCAGCACCGCCAGGGCCGCCCGAACGGCGCGGCTGAGCAGCGAGTCCAGCACGAACATCCAGTGTGGGCGGATCTGGCGCCGGCGGAGGATCTGCTTCACCTGGAGGCAGAGAGAGGGCGCGGCTAAGATAGCTGACAACCCCGGTGGGGCTGCGGCTGGGAAAAGCCTTGAAAGTCTCTGCTAGAGAAAATCGGGGTGGGCGGACTCAGGGTCCAGGGAAGAGCTGGGGCGGGTCAGACACCCGTCTGCATATGAAATTCCGAAACATCGAGTCATGTCCAACATCCAGTCCCAGGGAGCTCACGACCTGTTCTAGGACCTGCAGCCCTAACTGCAAGGAAGCTTCCTCACCGCATCTGGGAAGGCGAAGAGCGGTCCGCTCAGAAGCGTAGGCCCGAGGCCCTGCGCCTGCAGCTGTGCTTGCAGGGCCCGCAGCTCCTGGGCGAGCTGCCGGCGGTTGGGGGTGTGGATGTGCGCACCGAGACAGCGCAGCAGCTGTTCCACATGAGTTCTGCTTAGACGAGAACCCTGAGAAGGAGAGAGACGCGGTCTGCGACTGTCCCTATCCGAGTAGGAAAGATTCTGGCTGGTGGCCAGAGACCATCAGCAGTCCTGTCTGTGCTCGACCACCAGGGGGCGCTCGGACAGACCGCCCACCTGCTCCTGCTCCGGGCGCAGATTGTCGGCCAGCGTGGACAGCTCCTGCTGCAGCACCTCGGCGAGCATGGCCCGGCGCTTGCTCTCCTGGTGCAGCAGGCTTAGACCTGAGCTCTCCTCTGGGGACGTTGGCTCCTCCACTCCGGGCTCCTCGGGCACACTAGGCGCAATGGGGAGCGATGAATGCAGGGCAGGCAATAGCATCCAGCTACCTCTGCCGCAAGGTTTAAATCCTGGCTGTTACTTTAATTCTACTTCATAGGGCTAAGGAGATTAAACCCAGCACTGCGGAAGGCAGCACAGTAAATACAAGTTAAAGCATCTGAGGAAGGCAGTAGGGAGGCAGATACATCCTTGTAAGCAGTCAAGGTGCACAGGTCCCCAAGCACAGCTTTCCAGGAGGGAGGGAAGGTTACAAAGGGAACCCTCTCTAGGACCCCAGGCTCTCACCGGAGCAGGCAGGTGTCGCCATAGCTGAGGCAGCGCTTTGGAGGGCTGGGTGGGTGCTGAGAGGGTGCCTGAGGCCGAGGGAATGTCTGGGACTGGGTGGTCATGTCGGCTGACTGAGTGGGGCCAGCTGAAGAGGCATCTGGTGATGGAGGAACAAGTTGTCAATGCTCTCACCTGCACGGCTCCTAGGCTCTCCAGCCTGCTCACTGTCTCCACCCCATTGCACCTGAGGGCTGAGGAGCTTGCCGAGTAGAGCTGGGGCTGCGGCTTCTCTTCCCAGGCTGCAGGAAGGGGTCTTCCAGCAGTGCTTGGGCATTGGCTCGGAGGCGGGGGTCTGGCTCAAAAGTTCGGAGGAGGAAGGCTTGGGCCTCAGCTGACAGAGAATTGGGCATTGGTGGATGCACTTTATACATGCCCACCTAGAGTGGGGAGGACAAGTAAGAGTCAAGATTAGAGGTGTTCAAGGCCCAGATGAGCCCCACTCAGCCTCCATGGGCCAGGCCCAAGCGAGTCTTACCTGAAACATGGCAGCCTGTGGGCTCCCTAGTTCATGGAAGGGCGGGCGACCTGTGGCCATCTCAATTACAGTGCAGCCCAATGACCAGATGTCAGCTGCCTTTCCATACCCTCGTGGACCCTGGTCAATGATTTCTGGGGCCATATACTGCAGGGTCCCTAGAATGGGGGTAAGAGTAATAATGGAGCACACACACACACCCTGGGCCCAGTTAGCTGCCCTGGATTTCATCCCTTGTTAGAACTTTAACTCCATGCCCAGAAAACCCAGTACCCTAGAGGGCTCTAAGAGCTGGAATCCCCACTCACCATTCCCACACCCTGGTACCTGTAAAAGTCTCTGTGCAGGGTGTGATTCCTGCTAGCCGCTTGGAAGTGCCAAAGTCAGAAATCTTGAGCAGCCCACTGAAAGTGTTGATCAGCACATTGTCCCCCTGAATGGAGTGGACACTGTGCTTAGTGGACACTGGGCTGGGTCCCTGCCACAGAACTAGACACCCATCACATCTGTAGACTTCAGCGTGGCCCACCCTATGCCAACATCCTCCCCCTGCCATCCCACTTATAATTCCCTCTGGGACCTGGTGCCTGTTTATTTTTCATATCTGAACCTCTCTCCTTTAAGGAAACTCTTTGATGATTTCTTCACTTTTTGCAAAGGCCCTTCCCACTGAATCTAAACTGCCAGTCTCTGTCTGGAACCTTGGTTCCCCAATCCCACCGCCAGGTAAGCCAGCGCCAGAGCCCACCTTGATGTCCCGGTGCACAATGCGGTTGTCGTGCAAGTAGCTGAGTCCCTGTAGGATCTGGCGGGTGTAGAAACTGATAGTACTCTCATTGTCCTTCAGGGGGCCCCACACTGAGCGGAGCAAGGAAGACAGGCTGCCTGTGTGGACACAGTTCAAGTTCATGGTTGGTGCTCACTCCACTCACATCTTTGCTCAAGGCCCAGATACACCCATGCCGTGGCCCAGACTCCTCCAACACCCAATACCAATCTGTCAGCTAATTCTGGGCACAGCCACCCACACGCACTAGGGTTCATCCCCCCGAGGGTTCTCCACCCTCCTGCCCCACCCCTGTGCCCCACACCTGGGGTTTCACTCCCCTCCCACACAGAGCCGGTACCTCCAGGCACTTCCTCCATAAAGATCTTGAGGTAGCCGCCCTGGCTGGCAGAGCCCAGATAGCGCACGATGTTCTTGTGGCGGAGGCGTTTGTGGAGGGCAATCTCTTCGTGAAGGGGCTGGGAGAATCTGGCGGAGGGGGAGATGCCCGCCGAGTCCGGAACGGCCAGGCCCCGCCCCAGAGCCCGCGCCCCTCAGCCCCTCTCCTGCGTCCACCACTCCAGGTCTGCACCGGCCCTCGGCTCTCGCACAGCTCACCTGCTGTCCCGCTCCGGGATCTCTTTGATGGCGATGCGCACCCGCGTGTGGCGATCGCGGCCTGCGTACACCACGCCGTAGGTGCCCTTGCCCAGTACCAGCCGCTCACCATTCTCGGCGTATTCGTAGTCAAACTGCGGAGCGCCAGGCGCCGGGGTTCAGCTG